CCACTCTCCTCACGAGCCATCTTCATTATTTACAGTTCTAGGCCACATGTTTTTATTGTTGATTGCTTGTCTTTGGGTTTTGGAAACACATGTTTATATGATATTGATAACTGTTCTTTAATACTTTGGTTATTTACTTTACCATTCTGTTTGTACAAATTAGTATGAGAATTAAAGATTAAGACCTAAGTTAAATTATAGAGAAGCAGGGGCACCTAGGTGGCTCAGTCAGTTAAGCGCTGGACTTCGGTTCAGGTCATGATATAACAATTTATGGGTTCGAGCCCCGTGTTGGACTCTGTGCTGACAGTTTGGAACCTGGAGCCTGATTCTGTGTCTCCCTCTCTCTCTGCCCCTCCTCTGCTTACACTCTCTCTCTCAAAAAATAAACATTAAAAAAATTTTTTTAATTATGGATAAGCTGTTAGGCACTTATTCTAAGGGTAGGCTTAAATCTTTGAATAAAGCTAAGAAATAAATCTGGAAGAATAATAGAATCATATAATAATAGCAACAAATGTTTGCTGAGGGCTTTCTGTGGGCTGGACACTCTTAACAATTTATTTGGATTAAATTAAATCCATATTATTTGTATTATCTGAAATGATCTTTACCAAAACCTCAGTGGATAAGGTGCTATTATCTCTTTTTGTAGGTAAGACTACTGAAACTCAGGTAAAGTAACTCGCCTAAGGCAGTACAGCCAGTAGAATCCTAACTTGGACAACTCTAAAGTCAGTGCACTTTATTCTGCAGGTTGTTACAGCTTCTTTGGTATAGTAACAGTGCCAAGCCAAGTCCCAAGCATAGCTCCTTAGGATGTTTTCCATTCACAGTTCTGTAAAGTCCTGAGTTAATGGTCATAGGTTTATAAGTGGCTCTCTCAGCTCTCAATGATATACTTCCTTTCTGTTTTGTTTACCCAGCCCTGGTAGTTGTTTGTCCTCAGACTCCATTGTTCCCTTTTGAAATCTTTGGCTGTTATCACCAGTACTTAGATTTTTTGACTTAAGTTTCATACTGAAATTTATTCCTACAGCTATTTGAAATGGCCATCTCAGCCCTCAGAAACCTAAGTAGGAGGCTCCTTTAGAGCAACATATACCTTCATGCTCCTTTGTAAGGGGTCTAGGTTTCTAAGAGAAAATGTAGCTGCAGAGTCCATCCAGTTTACTCTGATCATAACATTCAATAATAAAATTAACATATAGTTTACAGCCATCTGCCAAGTCTCTCCCCTCAAATTCTTTTCCACTCATTTACCACTTAGAACTTTTTATCTTCCCATTCATTACCCTCTTATTTCTCAGGAAAGGCAGCCTACTCTTGTAGAACAACATATGCGTCTTTGTTTATTTAATTTTTTAAGATTTTATATTTAAGTAATCTCTACACCCAGCGTGGGGCTCGAACCTACAGCCTTGAGATCAAGAGTCATACACTCCACTGACTGAGCTAGCCAGGAGCTCCAACATAGGCTTCTTGCGTTTCTGGTGCCATGTTTCTTTGATGTTGTTTTAGCTTAGTGATCTTGATAAAGTTATTTAATATTTCAGCATCTGTAAAATATAGGTAATCATATATACCTTGCAGGATTGTTGTGAAGGATTAGAGATGATGTTTATAAAGTCCCTGGCACAAAGAAGGTCCTCATAAAACAAGAGCTTTTTTTAATCCTTTGCTATGATTTAATTTGGCAAATATTTGTAGCATCTAACAATGTTGGACTCTACTGAGGATGCTGAAGAAACAAAACAAAACCCAGAGTCTCTAAATTCAGAAAGTTACATAGTATAGAAGGAAGACTGACATATAAACAAATAACAAACAGAAAGGCACTAAGTACAATAGAGGCATATATAAATGGCTAGAAGCAATTAATTCTTTTCCCAGCCTTGCCTGTGGAGTGCTTTCCAAGTATTTCTTTTGGAAGAATACTTGGTAGTCAAGATGGGGGGACAAATAGAAAGAGAAAAAAAAAAAAACAACTCTTAAAGGTTCTGTAATCTGTGAGGTGCCAACCTTTTGAGAATTGATTTCAGCAAGGCACTTGATAAAATCTCTCATGAAGTTCTTGTACATAAGATGGATAAATGTGGGATGGCTGATAGAATAGGATTTGAAGGTGGTTATACAACTGTGTCCAGGATGTTTTCTCCTACAGTACTTTCTTTTTACTTATAAAATCTCTGGGTTGGAAGGAACCTTAGAAATAGATAATATAGTATACTCTAACTTGTACCCAAAGCCTCTCTACAGTCTCTTTCTCTTCCTTTTTAATTTTTAATTCAACAGTACAAAAAAGTATATAGCGCAAAATATACCTCCTTCTCCAATTCCATTCCCCAAGTGTCCCTGACATCCTCCCCAGAGACAAACATTATTAATAGTTGCTTGTGTATATGATCTTTCATTATGCATATCTTTTTACATCTTGTCTCATAGTTATTTGAGTGTATGTGCTATCTTCCTTAGTAAATTGTAAGCTCCTAAAGAGCAAGGACCTACCACATGATTTCCTATATCTCTCCAAAATTACTTATACATTGAAGATTCTCAATAAATATCTACTTGATTAAGTATTTAAAGGAAATTTGGACCAGGAAGAAGACAGGCTTCTTTAGTAAAATGCCACAGTTTTCTGTCCTTGGCCATATCATTTATAACTTGGATGAAGGTGTAGAAAGCATGGTTGTCATATATGCAGATGACACAAAGCTGGAAAAGAGAGCTAATAGCATCAGATGACAGAATTAAGACTGCAGATGATCTCAACAGACTAAAATGTTCAGCTGAAAAAAACAGGGATAAATATAAATAAAGTCTTGTGTTTAAGGGGGGGTGGGGAATAACCAACAGCTTAGTTGTTTTATACCCAATACCCAAGAATAGAATTAGGAGACTTGTCTTGATAATATTTTATTTGAAGATGATTTGGGAGGGTAGAGGATGGATCTTAATTGCCTTTAAGCTCACTTTAAGCTTAATTTAAGATTGTCAATAAAGCAAATACAGCTTTGGCTGAATTAGTAGAATATGAGTCTAAGTGGGTTAGTTTGTGGTTCCTGTGTTCTTTCTACTGGTCAGACTACTTGTTAAGTATTGGGTCCATTTTGGGGTGCCACACATATAAAGAGAGCCTGACAAATTGGGGTGTATATAAAGGAGGTTAACTAGGAATATAAAACTTGGGTATAAGAACCAGACTGATCTAGATCTCTCCTGGGTTCTGCTACTTAGCAGTCGTGATAGCTTGGCAAAGTCACTTCCTCTGAGTTTGTTTTCATACCTTTAAAGTAGGACAGAATAATAATATATCAATCTGGAGGATTGTTATAAGGGTTAGAGCTAACCTCTGCAATCAGAATTTTTTGCAGTCGTTAGAAATTAGATTAATGACTAGGTATAGTCCCTGCTTTGAAGGAGGTTACATTTCAGTGGGACAGACAACTGAGTAAATCCAAGATTGTAATGCAGCTTGTTAAATGTTTAGAGAATTGACTTACAGTAAAGGGGGTAGACTTATTCATCGAGCCCTCAGTAAATACAAATTGAGCCAGATTATTGTGTAGCAATAGAATGAGTCTCCCTAGGAAGAAGTGAATTCCTCTCAGGGAATGGATACAATCAAGCTGAGGTTGTGTGATTATTTGTTGGGGATGCTTGTTTATAGAAGACATTTTTTATGAGTAGAAGGTTGGACTAGAAGGGTAGGCAAACTATGGCCACCAGGGGGCAAATCTAGCCAGACATCTGTTTTTGTAAATAAACTTTTACTGGAGCATACCACACCCAGTTATTTATGGGTTGTTGAGGGCTGCCTTCCTGTACAGTGCAGAGTTGAGTCATGTGACAGAGACCATATAGCCCGCCAAGCCTAAAGTATTTACTGTTTGGCCCTTTACAGAAGAAGTTTGTGGACTCCTGGACTAGATCAACACTTTACAACCTAAATAATTTTGTGAACTGCTAACTTTCCTAAGTTCTCTGGCAAGTCAAGAGAGAGGAAGGCAAAATTTGAAGTGAGACGGTTACAGTTTTTCTTGTTGGCAAGGGATGAAGACTGCAAAACAGTTGGTTAATCTCCAAGATATTTTAAGAGACTATGATTTTATAAACCGATGCTTTGGGTTTGAGACAAAGTATTATTTGTATGCCACCTGGGCTAAAGCTGTCTGTACCCACTAGAAATGGGAAGTGGTCCTAGTGTAGTGGGAAAAACTGGTTGTGTTAACCATTGTGAGTTAGTTTTCTCACTTGTAATTGGAGCACTTTCTAGACTAAGGACTGGAGCTAATGTGTGTACTCAGATGTAGCTATCATTACTGTATTTCATAGAATACCTCATTGGAGTGTGTGTCACATCAGACAGAATTTTGGTTGGGAAAGTATAAATCCCTCCCTTGAGTGCTGCTAGTTGGGGTACTATATAAAACCCTTTCCTTGTGTTGGCTATATTTCTATTTGTTGTTATTATTTATTTATTTTAGAGAGAGAGAGAGAGAGAGCGTGCCCATGTGCAAGTAGGGGAGGGGCAGAGAGAGAGAGAGAGAGAGAGAGAGAATCTTAAGCAGGTTCTACATCCAGCATATAGTCCTGCCACTGGACTCTGTCTCATGACCCTGAGATCATCACTAGAGTTGAAAATCAGGAGTTGGACGCTTAACTGACTGAGCCACCCAGGCACCCCTGGACTAGATCTTTAGATCTCATGGCAGATAGGGGATAAATCAATCTCATTAGCAAATACAAGAATATCTTATGGCTGGCACCTTCAGTCCATACAATACAGGTGTTACTCTCTTTGCTAGAAAGGCAGAGGTTTTGCAGACACAGTTCACTTCTCCCAGTGGAATATGATTTTAAACTTGGCTTCTTCCCGTACATTTTGTCTTTTATATTCAGAGTCTACTGCCAGCTAACAGCTTTCTTTCTTTCTTCCTTTCTTTCTCTGTCTCTATCCCTCCCCGCCCCTCCCATCCTTCTTTTTTTATTGGAAGTGTTGACTCGGAGACAAAAAGAGGCCAACAGCAAGAGCAAGAGTGACAGCGAGACAACTGCCCAAACTTCTCTAAACATTGACAAGTAAGTGGGTATGCTGTGTTCTCAGAGCTTTTGTTTAACATACCATTGCTGGGATTGATTAAAGAGATCTGTTCCTCTCTACTCTGGGTTTTTTTGGCTTTCCAGTCACTTCATTGCTTTGATGTCTGAATCTATTTTTCTTATTCCCAATTTATGTCAGTGCAGGTGACCTCTGTATCTTTTTAAATTACCCTTAAAAAGTCCTGCCACCCATTCCATTTCTACATTCTGTTTTCTTTAAATTTGCATTTTGGTGTTTAGTACTTTTGGGAAGCAGTGAGCTATTTTGCGATGTAATGGCACAGAAGTTGAGTTGCAAAAGGTTGGGCAATATAAGTGACTTCCTTGGTTATGGGTGCAGCTTAACTAAGAGAGTATGATCCAAAGGGGTGGTAGGATAGAAGTGGTGCCGCCGAAAGGAAAGATATTACCAACAGTACATTAAAGCAGTTAGTCATTAGGCAGAAATGTTTATCTTTGAAATACGGATTTTAGACCCTAAATTTGAAGGCTACCTTCCCTAATCCAGTTGAGCAGAGCTGATCACTTGCTCCTTTTGGAATCCTATCTGTGGACATTCCTCTGTGACTATTGCATCCCATCGCACTGCACTGCAGTACATTTTTTTCTTTTTTGACATTTCTGTCTCCCTGGTTAGACTGTGAATTTTGAAGGCAGATACCTTGCCTTCATTCATGTTTATACCCTCAGCATCTAATAAAATGTGTCTGAGACAGCAGTAACAATAATAGCACTTTGTTGAACACCTAATATTATATACCAGTCACTGTGCTAAGTGTTTGATTTACTTTGTAACTCCTACAATAGCCGAAAGTTGGTTATTCTTTCTTTTTCTTTTTCTTTTTTTTATAGTTTATTTATTTTGAGACAGAGAGAGACAGAGCGTGAGTGGGGGAGGGGCAGAGAGAGAGGGAGACACAGAATCTGAAACAGGCTCCAGGCTCTGAGCTGGCAGCACAGAGCCTGATGCGGGGCTTGAACCCACGATCTGTGAGATCTGACCTGAGCCGAAGTCGGACGCTTAACCGACTGAGCCACCCAGGCACCCCATCTTTCTTTTTTTTTTTTTTAATAGATAAGGAAATTGAAGGGAAATTATAAGTAACTGTTAAGATCATGTAGTCAGAAGTGGCAAATCCTGCCTGACTCAAAAACTTCCACAGTGCTGCTATATTGCATAGTAGGGGATTAGTATATGATTTTTGTATTAATTCATAAATTTTAAAAGGTTCACTGGTCTAGCTTTTCTTATAAGGCAGAGTTTTACTTATATTCTTCTAGATGATTGAGTACATAAGATAATTATTTTTTGTCCTATTTTTAAAGACCTCCAGAGAAAATTTTCTTTAGAACAAATCCAGATTTCTCTTGCTGTAGAGTAACTGAAAAGTTATGGCCAAAAAGAGAAGCGTAAAATAGCAGCCTTTGGAAAGTTTTCTTCAGCTTCTTACAATGAAGATGATCTTAAGAGTCAAGAAGACCTGGCTTCTGACAATTATTAGCTATAGAACCTTGGGGGAGAATAGTACCTTCTTAGTAGGACCAAAGAATTAATTGAGAAACTGTGTTTAAAGGGCTTGGTACCAGTTCCTACCACAAAGAAAATACTTAATAAATGGTTATTTTTCTTCCTTTGTCCCCAATGATTCCATTTTCACTGATGCCCAGTGAATCTCACTTCAAGGACACAGATTCCTCTCTTTCTATAGATTCTACTATTATAAAAGATAAAAATAACTATGTATGTGAAGTTACTCAAAAGTCTGTAGCAGAACCACATGGTTTTGGTAACTTCCTAGTTGATGTTGCAGGTTGTAAAATTAAGGAAGTCAGCGTACAGAATCAGACAAGTTCATCCACCCTGGTAAAAATGTCATCTTGATTTAATTCTCATGGTGTTGTCTAAATTTTAACTTCCCTTTGAAAAAACCGTTACACTTAATTTCAGAAGAGTTTGACAGAATATTTTATGTCTGAAGAGCAATCAGCATTGTTTGAGATAGTTAGAAGAGCTGATTTCATTACCATCCCACTGCTGCAACAGCAGGGTACAGAGAACAGCCAGGGAAAACCACTAATCACTCAGTCCTTTTGATTGGCATCGGGTTAGTTTTATTGGCCATCCTGCTGAGCAAATCTGCATTGGTTGACATGTCTCCTTTGCAGAATAACGTAAAAACACAATTGAGACAGAATAACATAAAAACACAATTTGAGACATATCCAGGAGCCCAGAAGCAAAAGCAAATCTTAAAACTGCTCTTTCCCCCTTCCTTTTGATTGGCTAGGAATGAGAAGTGTTATCTCTGTAAATCCCTGGTCCCATTCAGAGAGTACCAGAGTCATGTAGAGTCCTGTCTCCAGCTTGCAAGGGGTGACCAAGGAGATAGGCCTGAAGAGAGTGGGAGGATATGCTCAGCTATGGAGGAGAAGTGGCAGCAGCGGCTGAGGAACCCAAAGGTATGTAAGGAATGTTTTAGGAAGCTCTCCAAAGTTCTGTTCTATCCTTTTTTCTTCTTCCTTCCTTTTCTGCTTATCCAGAAACAAATTGCATTTTAAAATTATATTTTCTTTCAATTAAAAAGTAATAATATGCTCATTGTAGGAAATACAGTCAGTTCAAAAAATATGAAGAATCAGGATAAATTAAGAAATTATTACCCATAATTTAGCTACTCAGAGATATATAACAAGTTTAAGTATTTTGGCCTTTTTTTCAGTCTTTTTTTTCCTATGCATTTTTTCATGTAAGTGAGACCATACTATATATGTACGTATGTATGTGTGTGTGTGTATCTTTCTGTCTGTCTGCATAACATTGTAGCATAAACACCTTCCTGGGTTTATTTTCAAACTATTTTTTAAAAATTACTCTTAATATTTATATCACACAGAAGTCACATAACCATTCTCATATTATTGGACATTTAGATTCTTTCCAATTCTTTTGTATCATAAGATTATATTTAGAAAATTAATCTGTGTACCACTCACTTTTTCCTAGAATAGATTTCCTGAAGTAGAACTCCTAGGGGAATGGATATAAACATTTTAAAATCTGTTGAAACATACCCCCAAATTCCTTTCCAGAAAGGATATCCAGTCATATCCCCACTGCCAGGAACATATTTGAGATCAACTCTGTTTAACACCTTGTGGGCCTGGTCTTAGGAGGTTGTGAGGTCTGGCCACTAGTCCCTGGGAAGATAAATGTGCTTTCTGGGTTTTGTGATTAGAGATCAGCAAGAGCAAGTCTTGGCTTAGAGATCAAAGATAAAGCAGCAGCTCCATATTCTAGGCTTACTAACTTACGAATCACTGCACACTAAGGTGAAGAAGCCATTATCTATCATGACAAAAGAAAGGGACTCTCCTATATCAATGGGGTGATTTTGAGCTGGGGATTATAGGTAAGTGTTTATATGGTAGAGCCTATTTATTCTTCCGGAATTGCTATCTCTAAAAGCTACCTTGAAACTATTATTTTCTACTTTAAATCTCTCCAAATCATGGTCAAAGGCTACTGTTCTTTAATAAGATCTTGGTGGAATAATTTACCTTGACTCTGATATTCATTCTTGGATAATATTCTTGGCATAAAGATATATTCTGTTCATCATCACAGTTTTGTGTTTTTACTTGTGTACCCCGTTTATTAGAAAGCAAAAGACTTTCCTAGAGCTCTGTGCCACATTCCTTCTCTCCTGGAGACACGTGTGATGTGGGCTAAGGAGGTTGTATTTTAGACATTCTGCCATGAGATAACCCTTTCATCTGTTTTTCTCTGTCACAGAAAAAAAAGTGCAGTGAAGGCCGACTCCTCAGTCTCCTGGAACAGTCTGAGCACAAGACTGCAGGTGAAGACCTCAGGACCAATTTTCTGGGCTTCTCTCAAAGACCTTCCAGTAAAAATAGCCACTGAGAATTCACTATTTGTTGGAGTTATGTGGGTGGACATTTGACCCAATCAGCCAGCCTTTGAGACTCTTAAGTTGTATCTCCCTAAAGAAGAAGAAGACATACTCTGTCTTGTTCATCATATGTTTCATTTCAGGCTTTATAAAGTCTGTTGAGGGGGCGGAAATCCAAATCACAGAGAAATGACACAAGCCCTAAATACCTTCTAAAGAAACAAGCTTGGAAGACCAGACATGTAGACATTTCTTCCTCATTATAATGTTTTGTACATTATTTTTGTGTTACTTTTAGTTTAGTGTACCAACCTATGCTCCTGAGGGATTATAGGAAGTAACTCTGTCTCTTTGTGCCTAGTATTTAGGGAGCAGTAGAGTGGATTGATTAAGAGCACTGCATAAAGTTAGTAATACCAACTTCATAGATTATAAGGATTATTTCTAGTAAAACTCCAAACATATTCCCTGGCATAAGTAGGCTCTTGATAAATGTTAGCTTCTATTATTACTATTGTTATTTGTTGCTATTGTTAAAATTCACTAGATGTAGATGGAAGAAGAGCTTTTGCTTAAGTCTGGGGAGATTTGCCTACCTTTTAGTTCTGGTAGTTCATTCCCATAAGTAAATCTGTTTTGCCTTGTGATATGAAGAGGCAGCCTCTCCCAAGCCCTACAGACTGCTGCCTCTAGATCAGCATGTTCTGAATATATGCAGGTGGCAGAGTTCCCTTGGCAACTCCTTGTACCTCAAGTCCACATTTGAAGTAGATTATTCAGAGGCTGTTCATTCAAAAGTGTTCACTTTGATACTTCTGCAGCTGAGTCTGTTGGATGCTAATACATTCCATTGGTCTGAGGAATTGGGATCTGAGCTACCTGGATAAGACTGATGAAAAGCAGTGCCCAGAACATAGGAAACACATGAGCAGTGAGAAGTGGTATGATTACAGCACTGTTAACAGCATTACTACTTTTTCTCTCTCATTACAGATGCAGAAATAAAGACCAGGTCCTCAGAAACAGGAAGCCTCAGGTGAATTGGGGTATACATTGAAATATGACTGTCAGCAGTTCTAGAAAAGTGCAGACCTGTTCCTGGGTTCTGTGTATAATGTGATATTCAAACTATTGAAGGTAGAAATCACCATGGAACTGTGTGATATCTCTCTGTGATCCCTTCCTCAACCCCAGTATATCTGGGCCAAGAATTAGATGGCTAATTCAATTTCATGGCATTAAAACAGTCAGCAAGAGCTGTGACTTACTCTTTCCTCTCAACCCTAGTCTTCTGGCTTAGATTTCCAGAAGTTTGGGAGTTCGGTTAAAAAAAAAAAAAAAAGTAATTTAAAAAAGTGAGAATTGGGTCTGAATTGTCATTCTCTCACTATCTAACTGTGTGGCTTTAGGTTTATAATTTACCCAGTGTCCTCATCTGTGAAAAGGGAATGATAGTACTTATCTGGTTGTATTATTACAAAGGTTATATGAACTAATAATGTATGTAAAAGTGTCTGGTACAATGCATGATACATACTTAGTGCTTATTAGTAGGTATATATTGAATTCTTAATTTTTTCCCCTTGTCTCTAGGGTGCCCTTGTCAAGGATGGAAGAGGCAGGCTGCAGCAGAGAGATGCAGAGTTCCCTTGCACATCTCGACTTAAACGAGTCTCCCATCAAGTCTTTTGTTTCTGTTTCAGAAGCCACAGGTTGCTTAGTGGACTTTAAAAAGCAACTTACTGTCCGGCCAGGTAGCCGGACACGAACCAAAGCAGGCAAAGGAAGAAGGAGAAAACCCTGAATTTCTAGGGTCCAGAGTTGACAAAACCATTAGCAATAGGAGTGGGCCATGGTCATTAAGCATTAGTGGCCCCTGTTTCATTGTTGAGCAAGTTTTGGCTGTGCAGGTTTCACCACCAGCACCCACTCAGCATTCTCGTTTTGATGTTTTCTATAAGCTATACAGACATTGTGTATAGTATTCTGTTTTATAACAATCTGGATTCACTTATAGTTAAAAGAAAATTTAAATATATTTATCTATGTTTGTATGAAGTCTTATTTCAATAAGATGGAGATTTTCCTTTTTTTCTCTGTGTTACTGGATTTGGGTTGGGAATATTTAAATGTGGAGCTAGTTCTGAGACTCCTAAATTACATGTTTCCAAATTAATTCCGTTACTGGTCTTTGACATATTCACTGAATGTGTAGTGTACAATTCTGAGTATTGTATTACTCCCTTGACCTTTTCTGACATCATTGTAGAAGGTGCCAAGGCATTAGATCCTACCTCTTATTTTGCTGTCGCTACCATTCAGTGACCTATCATTTCATCATGCTGCCTCACCTAGTTAAGAATTCTCAACCAGAGTTAGTTTAAAAAAAAAAAAAAAAGAATTCTCAACCAGAGCATAGGAGTTTTGAGGGATATCTCCTGCCATTCTTATCAGGAATTTGTAATTGAATGCTCTGTTATTAGTTTCTATGCAAAATTATCTTTTTCCCTAGATTAACCAATGGGGATGCCAGGCATATTCATCTCTTAAAGCAGATTGGGTCTCTTGCTGTCAAAGGTTAAAGTAGCAACAGGAAATAACTTCTGTTTCAGTATATTAGTAGAGTAGTGCACATTCTTGACCACATTGCCCAGGAGCTTTTAGTGCAGAACAGAGATGTGGTCTGTCTTCAGTGTATTTGCAGACTCCAAATATGAGAGGATGTTGAGTGGCAGAAGCAACGACCTGAGGGAGATGACCAGATAAGGATGTTAAGAAAGCTAGCTTTGGCCCAAGCTGATTTGGAGATGTAATAAAAGACTGTGGGAGGTGGCTGCTGACCAGGAAAGGGTCCTGGGACAGCATAAATAGGGATACCACTGAGACTCGCCTAACTTCTGATTTATCAAGTTCAAAGTTACCTTTTCCTTGATTTTTAAAAAGATGAATGGGGCGCCTGGGTGGCTTAGTCGGCTAAGCGTCCGACTTTCGCTTAGGTCATGATCTCATGGTTCGTGGGTTCGAGCCCCGCATCGGGCTCTGTGCTGACTGCCAGCTCAGAGCCTGGAGCCTGCTTCAGTTTGTGACTCCCTCTCTCTCTGACCCTCCCCCGCTCACGCTGTCTCTCTCTCTCTCTCCCTCCTAGAAATAAATAAAACATTAAAAAAAAAAAATTTAAAAAGATGAAAATGAGGGGTGTGTTAGACTAGGGATTCAGAGATAGCTAGGATGGAAGGCACAGCACAGGCCTTTAAGGCACTGTTTCCTGCCTGTGCTTTTGCACATGAGCTCTTTGAGTTAAAAGAAGGCAGCATGGTACACACACTATTTATGCCATGTTTTGGTGTTGGATGGCATGAACATTGTGGCCAGCATCACGTAAGGTAATAGGTGTCGTTTTTTGAGGAACTGCTGTGGCTTAGGCAATGTATGTACCTTCAGTTCATCTCACAGCAACCTATGAGAGGTAGGTATTACCCTCCCTAATTTTCATTGTTTTAAAAATGTTTTACTTATTTCTGAGAGAGACAGCATGAGCAGGGGAGGGTCAGAGAGAGGGAGACACAGAATCTGAAACAGGCTTCAGGCCCTGAGCTAGCTGTCAGCACAGAGCCCGATGGGGCTCGAACCCACGAACCATGAGATCATGACCTGAGCCGAAGTCTGATGCTTAATCAACTGAGCCACCCAGGCGCTCCGTACCCTACCTAATTTTCAGATGAGGAAACAAAGGCTCAGAGAAATAAAGCCACTTTTTGTCCTTGGCAGTGAGACCACAGTGCTCATCACCTTCAGTCCTAAAGAAAATGCTGTATGTATTTTACTCTAGTATTGATTATTTTTCTGTTTTCCTTCTAACAAAAAGTAGTTTATTAGTTATGTCCCATCAACTTAATTCTCACTAGTCTTGTTTACTGGCAGTTTATTGGAGGTAGAGCATTATAAGCGGGATGGCATGTTTCTCTGCTTGAAGAGAAGAAAAGAGAAAAGGCTGATTCTAGAAAGTGAATTTTTTAGCTTAAATTGAGTAGTTTCCCTAGAACTTGGGGCAGTGGCAAATTGTTGGAGGAGAGTATGGGTCAGTAGGACCAGGACCAATAGACTTTCTTGTTAGCTAATGAGAAGTCAGGGGAAGAGAGCCGCCTGCCCCATGCTCTTCACAACCTTACCCCTTACCCCTCCCCACATTCTACCATCTCTAATTTTGGTAAAGGCTGCTCATGTATATTATTCCCTTATGCCAGTGGTCCTGTGAGAGAGGCATTAGTGAGACAATGAAGAGACAAAAAGTCAGTGGAAAGAGTATCATTACATCAATCTGAGTTTGAACCCCTTTCTCTAATACAGGTTAATCCTTCTGAGACCTAGTTTCCTTGTCCATGAAATAGGGAAATCCTATTTAACAGTGTTCTAAGGAGTAAGACAGTGTGCATTAAGTCACAGTATGTGTCACACAGAAGATGAGGAGTAAGTGGCAGCAGTTATTAATGTGATGCTAGTTTGGTATGTCATAAGTAGCGTTAGGGTGAGAAGTAAAAAGGTGGAGTGCAGATGCAAGAGGAGATAGTTCTTAGAGGAGTGAGCCCTTGACTATCTTAGCTTCATCAGCCACCAGCCTTCCACAACAGGCTTGGGTCCTTGGGCATTTAGAGCTCACCCAGGACCCATGGGTTTTTCTTTTTTTTTTCCTTCTGAAAGGTGAGAAGCAGTTGTTCTGCTGGTGTTGCCAGTTCTTGGAGAGCTGGAAAGCTCCATGAACTTCATAAGCTATTACCATAAATTGGGAAAGAGAAGAGAACTTCTCTGTGTTAAGCATTGTGGTTGTGTAATTTCATTTCATTCTTACAACAGCCTTTCATCCTCTAGCAGAGGCTGTGCCTTGCCCATTTCCCCTGGGCACTCAACATTCTGTTACATACCCACAGTGTCCTATTGCAAGAATTTGCAACTCTCTGCCTTAGCACTTCTCTAGATTTGTGTGTGGCATAGGCTGAGGAATAAATACCTAAGCTTCCTTACCTCTTAGGTGAGTACATTCCCCACCAGAGTTCTCACAGAATTCCTCTGTGGGAGTGAGCCTCACTAGCGGCCAGGAGCAACTTACTTGTGTACATTCAATTGGTTTTCTTTACTTACCACTTCACTTTCAGTTCCCCTGTCAGCACTTCCTGGATCAGGGCTGGGACTAGAGTGAGGGGTCCTCACTCTTACGTTCATGTAAGGACAGAGTTGGCACTTACCTGAAGATAAGAGGGCCTCTTTACCTCACATGCATCACCCTCATCCTAGCCCTGGCCTGGATCACTGCCCAGTTAAGATACTTGCACTCAAATTAGGTCTGCCCCTGGGGAAACCCAACTTAAGGCAAATCCTATGGAGAAATTAGTCTCCATGTCTTATGCATGGAAAATTGAGGCTCAGAGAAGTGAAGAGATTTGTCTAAAATCATACAGCTGGTATATAGGATGGGATTCTAACCCAGGTCTGCATGACACTAGAGCTGATGCTCTTGTGTAGTTCACCACCTCCTACCTCCCATCAAAACTCTATCAAAGTTTTAAGTCTAGAGGGGCTCATTCTCACTTCTGAGGCAGAGCAGCTTTGGCCATAAGATGATTTAGAAATTGGACTGAGAGGAAGGCAGATAGTAAGGAGAAGGCAGTGGGAAGATAGAAGAATGTATAAGCTCAGAGTGGAAAGTCTGCTGAAGTTATATGCACCAGGAAAGCAGGAAGACATTACTTATTTCCTCTCAGTTTCAAAAGCCCTGGACTACTGAAGTTGTAGCTCTTCAGTTTAACAAAAATTAACTGTCAGGTTAAATGTCAGGTCTAGAACCTAGGCTGTGGGGCTCCAAAGATGAATAAAAAAACACTCTCTTGGGAGTCCGTGGTACGGTGGAGAAGGACAAACACAAACAGTTGATTTTAATAGACTTGTCAATGCAATTATATAAGCCAATCCAAGACCCTGGGATCCGTAGACCACTCTCAGCTGGGGTCAGGGCCAAGAGGAACTTCTCAGGAAAGGCTCCATGGCATTGGTGATGACTGAAGAATATTTTATTTTTTAATGTTTATTTATTTTGAGAGAGAGAGAGCAGGGGAGGGAGAGAGAGAATTCCAATGTCATGACTCTGGGATCATGACCTGAGCCAAAATCAAGTCAGATACTTAACCGATTGAGCTACCCAGGCACCCCTGAAGTATAAAGGATAAGGAAAAATTTGGTGAAAAGTCTGAAGAGGGTAAAGGGGGAGGTTATTCCAGATAGATCAGCATGAATAAAGACTAAACAGCAAGAAGCAACTTGATGGGAATAGGAAATCTGCAAGGCATACCTGAAGTAAAAGGGTATGGATGGAATGGTGGGGAACTTACTGAGCCTGTATGCCTGGCTGCTGGGCACTCTCAGCTGTGAGAAGCAAGCCTGTGAACAGCTAGCATAGGGAGAGCCTGGCTGCAGCCTACTTTCCATGACCTGACCACCAATTCCTATTCCTCGATTCCTTCTGGACAGCTGGAGATTGGTACTAAGGGGCTATGAGGGAGTCTTGTGAGGATTTGTCCTTCTTGTTGGTCACTGGCCATCTGGTATCTGAAGAGAACTGCTGGCCACTACTATGCTTCTTCTACAGCGAGGACTGTCACAGCTGCTCACAAAGCTCAAGCCCAAGCCACTTCCACCCTCCATAGGCCTAGACACAGAACTTCCCAACACTCTGCTTAGGGTATTGGTTCCCCTGCTCCTGGGGAAATAGACACAGGACTTCCAGAAACATGGATGAAGAGGCTTGGCAGTACTTGTCAGCAACATATCCTCACCCTGGCCCAGAAGACAATGGACTCTGGCTGTCAGCATGAATCACATTCAATTCCATATTCTCTTCCAAGTAAAGCTGAGAGAGACTAGAGCCCTAAGCTAGGCAGGATGTTATCCCGTGGATGATGACCACTCTGTCCTCCTGATCCCACCCCCATTTTCCTTGTTTTTCAGAGCCTGTATATCTGATTGGTACTAATCTAGCCAAAACTAATACAAGAGCCATCATCCCTGGTTGCCATCCTGGTGCCATGTGGAGGCCATGTTCTATCTGTAGATAATAGTAGGGTTACTGATGTTCAGGTACCCAGAATTTTAAAATTTTTGCTCCCCAATTTCCCAGAAATGAAAATTGGTGCAGTATGTCTAGTCTCCTGTTATGGTGGGTCTCATAGCCTGTTGAGGCTTCTATAACAAAATACTGCAGATTGGTATGTAAACAACAGAAACTTTTAGTCTGCACGCCAGAGTCTCAGATCGAGGTGCCAGCATGGTTGAGTGAGGGCCCCTTTCCAGGTTGCAGACAGCCAACTTCTCATACCCTCTCATGACAGAAGGGGCAGCGATGCTCTCTAGGGCCTCTTTTATGAGGGCATTGATCCCATTCATTAGGGCTCTGCCCTTATGACCTAATCTTCCAAAGACCTCATCTCCTAATATTTTCACCTTGGGCATTAGGTTTGCAACATAAGAATTTGGGGAGATACAAGTACTCAGACCATAGGAGTGGTCATAGTGATACCTCAAGGTTCTGTGTATTCAAGAAGACCAGTTTGGGGAAAAACAGCTTTGTGGCCAACAGCTGTACTGTAGCCTGAGATTCCCCTTCCCCTTCTGGTAGAGAAGACCCAAGGTATGAATCTACTCTCCCCACCTTGGCCTACTGATTCAAGGCTAGACTCCACAGTCTGGCTGCCACCTCTCCCATATCTTATTTAGGTCTTCAGAGCCGCGTTCCATTCCATGAAAGTGCCTTGTGCTCCCTGATTTTGTACATGGTCTTTTTGTCAAGGATCACCTCTGCCAGCATACTGCTGTTCTTCCTTCAAGACAGCTTCCTCTACTTGCCCTGCCCACTCTAGAGCAGAGTTGGTCTCTTCCTCTTGTGTTCCCACATTGCCTCTGGCTCATTAGTACTTCAGCATTTTAATTAATGTTTATTTATTTTGAGAGAGAGAGTGTGTGTGAGTGGGAGAGAAAGAGAGGGAAAGAAACAAATGCAGGTTCCATGCTGCCAGTGCAGAGCCCAAGGCAAGGCTCAATCCCACGAACCTGGAGATCACAACTGGAGCCGAAATCAAGGGTCACTGCTTAACCAACTGAGCCACCCACATGCCCAAGTACTATAACAGTTTGGAAAATTGTCTATTGTACTGTATGTTTCTCATGCTAAGCTCCTCCATCTTCCCAGGGGTAAGCCATCACCTCAAAACTCAGACTCTGAGTGTTTGTAAAGTGGATGGAGCTCTCAGCATTACTGAGGGGATGTCCCAGGGTCCTTGACTTAGTTCAGGGCTCCAGTTTCCTGTAGTCATCTTGCTTAAGTTTGCACCATATCCCTGCCTGTCCTGGGCGTCTCTTAGGGCAGACTTAGAAGGAAGTGCACCTTCCTGAATTAACTGATGTTTAGTTATTGGTGGCCAATGAAGGGGGTGGGACATTACAATTCAGGTGACCTCTGAGTTTCATTTCACAGTTCAGTGGGATGTCTCACATTGAGAGAGAAAGCTGACGCCTGAAGAAAGTGACCAACAGCTCCTTCTCCCAGGTAAGAGCCTCCTCTAATTCCTGCTTGCTTCAGCCCTAGCCCCTCACCCTCATCTCTCCAGCTTGGCCCATGCTAGGGGAGTGGAGTCTGGAAGGACTAAGCCAGCTGTCCTCAGTGGTAGCTCCCATTCTTGGCAGGGGTCCCTGGGATACTTTTCGTAAGGAAGGCTCACCTCATGTAGCTGATTCAGCTGAGTTCAGCTAAGAGGCCAACAGCTACTCAAACATGTGCAGACACTGGCTGGGTTCTGAGAATCTAGGGATGTAGGAAACATGTCCCTCTCCACCGGGCTCAGCTGGAAGAGGCAAACATGAATACATGTACTGGGAATGTAAATACTGAGATTTCTTGAGGGGAGGCTTTACAGTCTCTGGCACATAGAAGTATGGAATAAATGTCAAATAGAGGAGTGAATGAGTAAAAGAGTGAATGAATATATGATTGAATTAGTTGGGAGTGAATGAATGAATGTTTGAGTTAGCTAGGCTTCAAAAGGAGAGTGAAAGCTCACCCCATGTATAACCCTTGGCCCTTTACTAAGATTACAATTGCCTTAATTACCCCATTTTCTTCTTGAAACAGAACTGTAACATATGTGAAGTTAACATTCCCATTTGACAGATTTGGAAGCTAGGTATATGTGGCTTGGAGGAAATTTGTTAGAAACTGATTTCTTAGTTCTCCAAATAAGGACTCCACCCTTAACCCCCAAATTTTCAAAGCTGTATTAGCACCTACCTATGCCAAATCTTGTACTGGGTTTCATGAAGACGCAAATGACTCAGACACTGTACTTCCAGACTTGAGGGACACTGTGAACGAAGGCTGGAAAGCAGGAGGTAGGGTGAAGATTGTAGTCAGTGTGGCTGGAGTATGAATGGGAGCAGCAAGAGAGGAAGTTTGGGGCCTGCAATACTTTGATAAATAGTTTTAGACTTTTTTTTCCCCCCTGCAGCGAGAGCATCACAATGTGAAGGTTTATTTCCTTTCTTAGGGGAGATAGGGTTGGGAAATGGCATTTTTTTGCACAGTCTAGTGATGTGTTGGTAGTTGGGGCAGGGAGATACAGACTGGAGCAGACTATCAGGAGGTTGTTGGAATAATCAGATGGGAATAGGGTTTAGGGCAGTGGCAGTGATAACCAGGAGGAGGGGAAACATGAGAGAATTATTTCCATTTTTAACTCTTTCGGCCTAAGACCTGATTGCATAGAGGAAGTGAGGGTCAAGGATGTAGACAGGCACCTGAATAGCTGTGAGAGTGAGCAGCCTTGATGCCTCCAGCCAAGGTAGGGGATAGGAAGAGTTTCATGGGGAAAAGTGAAGAAGAAAATGAATGTGGCTTTGACTTGAGTTTGAGGAGCCTCTCCAGCATCTGGACAGTAATGTCTAACAGACCATTAGAATTTGGGATTTGGTTCAGGACAGAGGTAGATTTGGGAGCCCTCACACAGAGGTCTCAATCAAACCTTGCAGATGATACAAAGGGAGTGTGGGGAAGAGGGCTATGGCCAGAAAGTGGGAGGAGTGGCCATTGTGGAAGGGGAGAGGAGAGAAGGAGTTAATGAAGATTATGAGAGACTCAGGAAGGAGGCCCAGGAAAGACTGGCTAACTGTTAAAGCCAAGGGACAAGAGAATTTCACAGTGAAGAGAATGTTCATGGCTTTGCATGCCTGAGAGAGGGATAGTAAGGGTGGGAACTGAGGAAAAGGGATTGGGTAGTCAGGAGATCATAGGTGACCAAGAGGAGGTCAAGTTCATGGACATGATGGGAGTGGAAGATGGGGAAGGGTTGCAGGGATAGGGAAGTATCTTTCCTGAAGTTTTGCTGTTATAGGAAGAGAGGTAGAGTAATTCAGTCAACAGATGCCTTCTGTTCATCTTGGGGCCTCCACTGCATTTTCCCTTTTTCTTAGCCCCGAAAGGCACCCGAGTCACCAAAAGCTGCCTTGGAAACCTCTTGGAACAGCAATACCACATCTAGCTTGAATTAGCAAAATACCAGAGATTTCTACAGTCCTTTACAGTGTACAAAGGGCTTTCAGATCCATTAACTCCTTTAATCCTCACAAGAACTGAATTTTTGTCCTGTAATAGAAGAGGATATTGAGGCTCATAGAGTTTCAATTCAGATTCAGCTAACTAAATCTGAAGGCACACCATGAGCGAGGTTCTTTTGCTCTCATTATTTCATTTGCGCCACATAGCCCTTTGACATGTATTGGTTCCCATTTGGCAGATGAAGAAAATTAGGCCTCCAGATTAGAGACCTGGTACTACTGCTTTGTGAAGAGCTGGGTCCTCAACTCTGAGCACAGGGCTTTTTCCATTCTGTGTTACTATACCTTCTAAAACCCACCCATGAGCTGACGTTTGCGCTGCACATTAAATTTCCTGAAGAAAAAAAAATACCCCCAATTTTATTTATTTATTTGTTTATTTTAATGTTTACTTATTTTTGAGAGAGAGAGAGAGAGAGAGAGCATGAGCCGGAGAGCGGCAGAGAGAGAGGGAGACACAGAATCCAAAGCAGGCTCCAGGCTCCGAGCTGTCAGCACAGAGCCCTACTTGCATTCACAAACTGTCTGATCATGATCTGAGCTGAAGTCAGATGCTTAACTGACTGAGCCACCCAGGCAGCCCTCAAAGCATTTTCCAAGTCTTACTCCTTTTAATTCTTACAGCAACTTTGTGAAGGTAGATGGTAGATATTTCCTCCCATTTTACAGATGAAAAAACTGAAACTCGAAGTCAGAAATGACCTGCCTGAAGTTGTGCCACTAGTGGAACCCCTTTCTAAAGTGCAGATCCATCCCTGTCTAGATCTCTCTTAAAGATGAAATTTGCTAAGCGCCTGGGTGGCTCAGTCAGTTAAGTGTCCAACTCTTGATTTGGGCTCAGGTCATGATCTCACGGTTCGTGAGATTGAGCCCCACATTGGGCTCTTCGCTGATAGTGCAGGGCCTGCTTGGGATTCTCCTCTTTCCCTCTCTCTGCCTCTCCTCTGCTCGCCCTCTCTTTCTCACTCTCAAAATAAATAAACTTAAAAAAAAAAAAAAAGATGAAATTTGTATGCCTTATCTTGCAAAGGCCATTAGTAGTCCAGCCTGTCTGCTTCTCCAGCAAGTCTTTGGCCCCTCCTGACCTCACACCCTTTGTTCCAAACCTCTAGAACATCCCTGAACTCCCAAGCACAGTAGCAAGTCCATGTCTGTTACTGCCCATGTCAACTGTATTTTGATTGTTGGTAAGGCTGTGAAATCCCTGAGGCCAAGGCTTACATCTGCTTTTTACCCCAACATCTGGCACAGTAGCCATCAGGAACTGTAAATGTAAATGAATGACAGAATGAATAAATGGCATTGGATTAGAAATCAGCCTTCCTAGTGCTCTGTTAATATACATGCTTCTGGAAAATGAGGGCCTTCTGGCTGATTACCAAAGGATCGTTGATGGTCAGAGGTTCTGAGCTCTGCCTACAGCTTTCTTCCCAGATCCCTTAAGAAGGAAGAAAGTTAAGGGCCATGGCCTCTGAGGGCTTGCAGAGTATGTGGTTCATGAGGGCTGTCCCTTTTCTCCTATAGGTGGCCACCCCGTATTGTGGAACCACATGGACTCCGCTGGGCCAGTAGGGTTGCAGCAGGGGGAAGGAGCTCCTAGCTGCTCCCAGGAGGGCTTGCCTTGCCCCTCAGACAGCTCTGAGCTGGTAAGTTCAGCACTGGGTTTCTGTCTCATGCCTATTCGAGGCTGTTGAGGGCAGGATCAGCTGAAGATGCAGTGGGGCCATGGGCTCACAGCCACACGGCCCTTTCTAGTTAACCAAGCCTTTCAGATCTGATTTGGTAACTATCTCTTCTGTGGCTCCACACAATAGCAAGGTGGGGATCATCTTTTCATCTTACAGCTAAGGAAGAGGAGACTTAGAGGGGTGAAGTGATTTGAGTTGTAAGGCATGACAGGAGCTTAAGCTGAGGTGTTTCAGTTCCAAAGGCATTGCTTTTGCCACCTTGTTACACAGGCGCTGCCCCTGCCCTGATGGGTTGACCTAGTCTAGAAAGGACTGTCTTGGGTTTTTCTGGTAGAAAGTTGTGTTCTTAAGGCACTTCCTTCCCCTATTTCTCTAGTTACTCCTGCATGTCTCCCTCCCTTCAACATGGCCACTGCAATGAGGCACACAGAGATGATTCCAGGGCTGAACTCAACTTAGAGGTTATTCTGCAGCATTGTCCATAGGTCTCAGGTTAGCTCAGACTGAGTCTCTCTTTTCTGTCATCTTTTTTTTTTTTAAGTTTGTTTATTTTGAGAGAGACAGAGACAGAGCAAGTGGGGGAAGGGCAGAGAGAGGGGGAGAGAGTAAATTGCAAGCAGAGCTGGACTAGGAGCTCTAACCTACTGAGCCACTCAGGCACCCCTCTTTTCTATCATCTTGACCAAAATTTAGAAACCCTTGCACATCACACCATCAAGCAGGAAACACTTGTGTAAGTCATTTCATATTTCTTTTCTGTTTCCTCATCAGTAAAATGGAAGAAAATAATCTAATCCTCCCACCCCCTTGGAGGATTAAGTGAAGTAAGGTAGATAAAGGACCTCCACAGACGAGGCATCCGTGGAAGGGTTCTCAAATTGTTCCCTGCAGTTTCTTTAGTTGTCCAGCTTCTTGTGACATCTGCTGGACTTGGCTTGTTGCTTAAACTGTGGGGACATCACCTCTCACTGCATTTCATGCTCCTGCTTCACCCTTGTCCAGTCTCTGCCCCAGACCATGCTATCAATGTTTCCCTTGTGCACAACTCATGCTGGGCCACAGAAGTGAACAATGACATGGCCCCTGGCATTGGGGACTCAGATGCCTTCTGAATTTTGTTATTCTCTTGGCCCTATTTCAGGGCCACACAGCCAGGAAGTGGCAGAAGAAGGACTCATCCTATGAGGTTTCTTTGCTGCCACCTTCATCAGCTTTGGTTTCTTTTCGGGTGAAATTGCTAGTTTTTATAAGGCTTCATATTCATATGGAAACACCTCTGCGGTCAGTTCTGGGCTCAAATCCCACTCTGTCCCCTAATAGCTGCTTGGGTTACACAGGTGACTATCCCTCTCTGAGCTTCAGTTTCATCATTTGTAACATATAAACAACCCCTCCTAGTGTACATGGCTGCTAGAAGCTTCCCCTATAATGTAAACATGGAACTGAACATCTGGCACTCCAGGTAGGATCATTTGCCTCCTTAGGGATCTGTTTTCCATTCTCTTCCTTAAGCAGAGGTGGGACCAACTCACCTGCATCTCCCTCACTGAACAGCCTCTCTCTTCCCTGGCTCCCCCGCCTCCTTATTCAGATGTCTGAGTGGCTACTTTACACATATGGGTCCAGTATGGGGCACTGGAATGGAATTCCTGTGGGACAGATGGTGAGGACCTGGGAAAGGCTAAGCCCAGGAGAATGGAAAATGAAGTCACGTGTTGGGACTCTCCAGCAAACCTAGGGGGCTGCTGGTGTCTTTTTGAAGGACGGGCCAGAGGGTCATCTGGGGAAGGTTTCCACATAGAGGTGAAGTACTGGGGGTCCTCTTAAGCACCCCCACAGTGGGCTACTGGTGAAGAACCTGTGGTGTCCTATTCTCTGCTTTTTGCCTGTCTACCCCTCCTGTCACTTTGATTCACCCCTAGCCCAGCCTCCCCTCAAATTCATCCCCTCACTATGAAGAAAATCCCTTCTTTATCCTTTTCCCCAGATCTTCAAATGGCTTGTTCCCTTCCTTCATTTAGGTCACCTCCTCAGGGAGAACTTCCCTGACCAATATCCAAAAATACCTCTTCCTCCCCTGGTCACTCTCAAACTTCTATTCCTGTCTTTAAAAAAAAAAAAAAAAGCTTCCATTTCTACCAGAATATATGTTTATTTGCTTATTTTCTGCCTCTGTGCTGAAATCTGAGCTTCACAAGAACAGAACTCAGCTGCTTATGCAACATATAGTGCTTAGAATAGTGTTGGGCATGTAGTAGGGACTCAGTTGATGTCTGTGGGAAGGATGGCTGGCTGATGACTGATGGCTGATTGTCCGCCATGGTGTAGCCTCCACATTCTCCTGGGCTGGGCTTACTTAGGCTCCAGAGTCAAATGGATTGGGAAGAACCTGAACTTGAGATTCATTAACACATTTTGTTCGTTTGCTCATTCAATGACAACTCACTGAGCAGCTCACCTCTGGGTACTGGGGAGCCAGAGTGAATCAGGAGTATGACAGGAGAGAGACCTCACCAAACCCTGAATTCAAAGAAGTAGAAGGGGCAGGGAACACAGAGGTCTGAGAAAGAGTCACCAGAGAATGGAACAGGAGGAGGAAGTGTATGGGTCTCTCCTCTAGGAAGGAGTCTTCTAAGAATGCAGGAACTGAGTGTAGGCTATAGGCTGTAAGAGAGCCAAGCAATGTGAAGGGGTGAGGAGTGGGGCTGAGCAGGTGCTGGGGAGACCAGTAAGGCTCAGGGAGAGCTCAGGCAGGGCTCTAGTCAGCCCCTGGGAAAGCCAAGGCAGGTGCTGGTCTGGACTGGCAAGAAGAGATGGTGTGAGCTGGGCAGGACAATCCTGATTAGAGTGAAAGAGCTTGGCTAGGTTAAAAAGGCTCCTGCCCAGATGTTAGCCTGTTTCTCCCCAGGTGCTGGAATGCCTACAGCAATTCAAGGTGACACGGACACAGCTGCAGCAGATCCAAGCTAGCCTCCTGGGCTCTATGGAGCAGGCCCTAGCGGGGCAGGTCAGCCCTGCCCCTGCTGTCCGGATGCTGCCCACATACGTGGGGTCCACCCCACATGGCACTGGTGGGTGGCATAGATTGAGATGGGTGGCCAGGCCTGGGGAGAGGGTTCTTATCTGGGGAAGGGAGAAGTTCCTTATCCCTCTTTCTATTAAGGTTCCCAACTCTAAGCTCCCTTAGTGAGACTTTGCAGTCCTTGGGGATGCTTCTGGGAGGCAGAGGTCTTGGTCTTGCCAGCTACATGCCTTTCTGTGATCTCTTTACCCCAGAACAAGGAGATTTTTTGGTGCTGGAGCTGGGGGCCACAGGGGCCTCACTGCGTGTTCTGTGGGTGACCCTGACGGGTACTGAGGGACACAGGATGGAACCCCGGAGCCAGGAGTTTGTGATCCCCCCAGAGGTGATGCTGGGTCCTGGTCAGCAGGTGAGAGGTCATTGCCCAGTCTCTGGGGCCTGGCTGGGTGGCCAGGGCTCTGGTGGGCAGATCTGAGCCCCCGATCCATTCCACAGCTCTTTGACTTTGCTGCCCACTGCCTGTCTGAGTTCCTGGATGCACTCCCTGTGAGCACTCAGGATCTGCAGCTTGGGTTCAACTTCTCCTTCCCTTGTCACCAGACGGGACTGGACAGGGTGAGGCAGAGTGGGCAAGGAAAAAGTGGGTGGAGGAGTTGCAACCCCATGAAGGTTGCTGGGGAGTGACCCAGCTTTCCTGCCCCCAGAGCACCCTCATTTCCTGGACCAAAGGTTTTAGGTGCAGTGGTGTGGAAGGCCATGACGTTGTCCAGTTACTGCGAGATGCCATCAAGAGACAGGGGGTGAGTGGAGGCAAGGGCAATGGGAGGGCAGCGTGTGGGGCCTGGGCCTGGGCCCAGCACACATAGGCCATGCCTGTGCTTCTGGGAGGGCCTGTTTCCTTTTCTATTTATATCCTTTTATCCAGTTTAACCCTGGGGTGAATGTTGCTACCATTCTTATTTTATAGGTAAGGAGACTGAGGCTAAGAAAGGTCAAATAAATTTTCAGGACTGTAAGAGAAAACAAGGATGGAAAGACTTGACCCTGTCTTCTAGGACCACATGGTCTAGTGGGAAAGCATTTTGACAAAGGAGTGTCCCTGTCAAGGAGGTGGTTCCAGTGACTCTGGCAGCACTAGGAAAGGCACACCAGGACTTGGGCAGGGACTTGAAGGAGAAATTTGCCAGGTGCATAAGCTGGGCCTGGGCTGGAAGGTCTGGTTTCAGAGAAGGATATATGCAAAAGCATGGATGCCTGAGCAAGATGGATCCGGATTCATGTGGACTAACTCCAGTGGTGCTAGTGGACGGAAGTCAGGGCTGGGAGGAACAGGCTTGGGAAGCCAGGCCAGGATGAGGATGAGCAAGCCAGATGCCAACAGTACAGTCTTCCAGATGCCATGCTTGCTCACCCTCATCTTGGTCCTGTGGGGAGCACTGATGTTCTGGGGTTGATGGCTGAGGTTGGGAGCCTTTGAGAGCCCCAGGACCTGAGTTGGGGGTAGAAGAGCCAAGGGAAAATGTGGAATGGGAGGAAAATCCTCTATAGGGTAGGAGGGCCTAAAATATATGTGTGGGCATGAGCACACATGTTTCACGGACTCTGAGCACCTCTATCAAAGCCAGAGCCCCCCTGTCAAACCAAGGCTTGCCCCCAGGTTCCCCACTCTACCTAAGTAGGTCAGCTCTGACCTTTGCCCTCTCCATTGTCCAGGCCTACAACATCGATGTGGTTGCCGTGGTGAATGACACAGTGGGCACCATGATGGGCTGCGAGCCAGGGATTGGGCCATGTGAGGTCGGGCTTGTTGTAGGTGAGCCGTGGGCCATTTGTGATGATGAGCAGGGGGCACAGCTACCTGATGGGCAGGTCCTGACTGAGTCATCCATGCCAGACACTGGCACCAATGCATGCTACATGGAGGAGGCAAGGCACGTGGCGGTGCTGGATGAGGACCGGGGCCGTGTCTGCGTCAGCGTTGAGTGGGGCTCCTTCGGCGATGATGAAGTTCTGGGACCAGTGCTGACCACCTTTGACCATGCCTTGGACCGAGAGTCCCTGAATCCTGGTGCTCAGAGGTGGCCTGATCTTCTGCTCTAGGACTTATCATTCCTCTGCTCCCTTCCTCACTGCTGTCCCTGAACTTAGGAACTTAGTTAGGCCCCTCCCTCTTGCTTGCTCATAGCGTTTCCAGGTTGCATCCTGGGGGGCCCTGGCCAGGCTCACAGAATAAAGGGCTCAAGATTCTAGAACCAAGTGTTTTCAACGCTTAGCCTTCCCTTATTCCTGACAAGTGTTGGGGGTTGGGAGTACCAAAATGTTCCCTGCCCTCTCTTGGGTCCTGCCACCCTCCAGGAGCCCCTCTGAACCTAACCTAAGCCGGAGGGGGCTGCAGAATCTGGATAAACACCCACCTATCCTGGGAGGCCATTTGCTTCTGGAACCTCCAGTCTGGGGATCCTAAGGAAAATGATCCTTCTTGGGGGCTTTTGGCAGTGGGGCCATGTGAGCCGAGGGCTTAAGAAAGGCTCTGTCCAGCCACACTTTCTACTTGTAGGTTTGAGAAGATGATTGGGGGCTTATACCTGGGTGAGCTGGTGAGGCTTGTGTTGGCTCACTTGGCCCAGCGAGGAGTCCTCTTTGGCGGCTGCACCTCCCCTGCCCTGATGAGCCGAGGCAGCATCCTCCTAGAGCATGTGGCTGAGATGGAGGAGTAAGTAGGAAAAGTGAGTGGGCTTAGACAAGGTGCTTCTTGGCATGGGAGAGGGAAGGATGCTCTGTCCCCTGGGTAGCTATGGGGCTGGGGGTGGATGGGGAGCTCCTGGACTACTTGAATCCCAAAGCGGCACCCTGTGTCCCTCCAGCCCCTTGGCTGGGGCAGCCCGTGTGCATGCTATCCTGCAGGACTTGGGCCTGAGCGTGGGGGCCTCGGATGCTGAGCTTGTGCAGTACGTGTGCGCAGCCGTGTTTACACGGGCTGCCCGGCTCTGTGCTGCTGCCCTGGCTGCTGTTCTCTCCCGCCTCCAACACAGCCGGGAGCAGCAGATGCTTCAGATCGCTGTGGCCACCGGAGGCCGAGTGTTTGAGCGATATCCCAGGTACTGGAAGTACACACAGTTCTGTGAGAGCAGGTAGCAAGGACATGTGTGTGTTTTCCATACAGACCCAGAGGGCACTGTGGTAGCCTGGGCAGTGGGTACAAGTGGCACCCAAGCAAAGTGAGGTCAGATGGGGAATAAGGGAGGCCAGAAGAAGTCACGGGAGAGAAAAGATGCTTTTCTTTGGGTGTGCAAGGGAGGGGTCTCTGGGGGCACTGAGAGCACTGGAGACACTGGGCATATGGTTGGTGCACAGATGGATTTAGAATCGAAGGGATTTGGAGTGATGGGGCCCAGGGCTTCAGCAAGCCCTGAGCATCAGGTTCAGGTGCCAAGCCAGGTATGCCTGCTATGTGTCCGTGTAGTTTCCTCAGCATCCTGCAGGAGACTGTGATGCTCCTGGCCCCTGAATGTGATGTCTCCTTCATTCCCTCTGTGGATGGGGGCGGCCGGGGCGTGGCAATGGTGACTGCTGTGGCTGCCCGCCTGGCTGCTCACCGGCGCCTGCTGGAAGAGACCCTTGCACCATTCCGGTTGAACCATGAACAGCTGGCAGCAGTGCAGGCACAGATGCAGGAAGCCATGGCCAACGGGCTCCGAGGGGAGGCCTCATCCCTCCGCATGCTGCCCACTTATGTGCGGGCCACTCCTGATGGCAGTGGTGAGGACCTGGCCTAAGTGTGGGGCTGGGATATGGGTTCCTGGAGGCCATAGCATGTGCTGAAGTAGAGCCACCAGCCTTGTCCTGCTACTGAGGGTCTCCGTCCCACAGAGCGCGGGGACTTCCTGGCCCTGGACCTTGGGGGCACCAACTTCCGGGTCCTCCTGGTGCGTGTGACCGCAGGAGGTGTGCAGATCACCAACCAGGTCTACTCCATCCCAGAGTGTGTGGCTCAGGGCTCTGGACAGCAGGTACCCACAGCTTGGACCTGATATCAAGAGTGGGGAAGGGCCAGGATGGGACCACCGTAACTTGCCCTATATCTCAGCTCTTCGACCACATCGTGGACTGCATTGTGGACTTCCAGCAGAAGCAAGGCCTGAGTGGGCAGAGCCTCCCCCTGGGTTTCACCTTCTCCTTCCCATGCAGGCAGCTTGGCCTGGACCAGGTGAGGGAGGGAGGGCCATGAGAAACCACTCCCAAGGGCTTTCCACCCTCCTACCCTTCATGAAATGGGCAGGAGGCCTGGGATGGGGTCAGGGGTGGGCAGAAGCACTGCTGTGTTGGGCCAGCACTTAGCCCCAGTTTCCCTGGGTATGGTATGTCCAGGTGGAGGAGGTGTGGTGAAGTGGCCTGGAATCTAGGGCTATAAAGAGGCCTGGGGTGGAAAAGATTATGGATACCCCTGGGGGTTGCCAATGGGCAGGGAAGTGGAGCTAGGTTAGGTCTGGGCATTTGGGAGCAGTGTAGGTCCAGATCAGGGCCGATGAGGGGACACATTGACTGTTTCCCCCACAGTCCTGGTGTACTGATCTAGGGGACCTGTGGGAAACAGCATTTGTTCCTGTATTTCAAGTGGCTGTGGTTGCCTGGTTTCTTTGCCCTGTCTCCACTTCCTGGCCTTGCTGTGTCCTAGCTTGGTGTTGAGTGCCTGACTAGAATGGCAGAGCAGCACAGATCTAGACACAGCACCCACTAAGCATCCACCTCTGCATGTCCTTTAACAAGAATGCTGGACTTCTCAGTGCATACATCTGTGGCCTGTCATGGAGATAGCTCCTCCCAGACCTCTGGTCCATGTTCCCAGGGGTCTCCTCAACAGTCCCAACTTCTGCCCAAAGGTCTCTTGTGAAGAGGAGCTTGCTGCCCCTAAAGTTGCCCACTGTGTTCTTCCACGCCTGCACTCACTGAAAATCTCTGCCTTCTCTCCTCCACCTGCCTTTGTGCAGATTTCACCTCTGCTCCAGCTCTGACCTCTCTCAGAAACCAGCCTCTGTATTTTGCTTTCTTCCACACAGTGGTCCTTTGGAATTGAGCATTCAGGAGTGTCTGTCTGCTGGCCTGCTCCACTTTAGGCTAAGCATGCTGGCACCGCTTGATTATTCTTTGTCAGGTGTGAGAAGCAGGTGGGACTCAGGATGCAAAATCAGGCACACAAGATCAAACATGGTCCTACTCATTTTCTAGAACGGAACTTAATTTCTGTGTTGAGCTCACATTCTTTTGAGGAGCGATAACTTAATGATAATCAATCCGGGGATCTCCTTCCCCAGGTAGGGGCCCCTCCAAGCTGCACAGCATCCTTTGCTGTGTGTGTGCAGAGGGGGATGTCAGGAGATGCCCAGGCCCCAGCTATGTGGACTCTGCCACTTCCTGTCTTGGTTCTTGACACTTTCCTTAACAATTGACCTTACCCTTTGTGGGGAAGGAGGGCAGAGACCTCTTCTGCTGTCAGGTCACTCCAATCTCTGCTGTCTCCTTCCTTCCCACACAGGAGCATGGCCCAAGTAGAGGCATAGGACCCCTATCTCAGGAAATGCCAAAACTTGGCTCTGAGTCCCTCACCCCCAACACTCCTCCCCCAGACCAGTGCTCTTTCTTTTGTCTGGGAGCAGGGAAGTTTTGCTACTACTCATGATCTGTCTCTCCCACATTAACCCTCCTCCTCATTTGCCCTCTCACCTCTGGTTTCTGGTTTTAAGACAATGAGCATAGAACACTCTGGCTGTGCTTATATAGGAAAAAGGATAAAAGGAAATATTGTTGGGGAAACGTTGGTTAATAGTTCTAAAACCTCTTGCCCCAAAGATATTCATAGCTGCTCTGCATGCTCATACTTTGGGCAGAGCTGCCATTTTCTAATAGCAGTAGACTAATTCCCCCTGCCCCCTCCCTCAGAGGAAGCACACCTAGAAATGAATACTCCTACACTGCCATGCCCATCACTAAGTTCACAATTTAAGGTCAGTTTCTCACAATAAAGGCCTATCTGTCTTGTCTTCTCCCATCCTGCCCAGGTGTCTGGATTCTGGCTTTTCCATTTGTCCTTCACTCATATCTGGAACATACAAGTGTATCTCCTATGGACACAGCTCTGTCCCTAATTCCTCAATTTCCTTCCTCTCAAGTGACTCTTGCTAGTTCTTTATGAAAGAGAATTTTCTGTCATTTGGACCTCTGAGCCTTCTCTGTCCTCCCCCTTCTCATACATAGCACTCATTTTACCAGCTCTGTTCATTCCTAACCCAATTATGAAGGGCCATTCCTTCTGGGCAGCCGTCTTAAAACATCCAGACTCTTAGACCATCTGAGCATTCTGGCACTAATAATAGAAGACATAGGTCAGGTGGTTATTAATAGCTTTCTTTACACAGGAAGGCCCCTGGAGAGTGAGGAGGGGGCAGAGGGCAAGGCCTTCAACCATATAGCAGAGTGGGTATGGGATCCTGCTTGGGGAGGGGGGAAGCTGTATGCTTCTGATGAGATGCAGGCTTTGGGGAGGGTGAGTGAGATTACAGAGGGTCTTTACCTTCCTGACACACCTTGGTCCCACACAAGGGCATCCTTCTAAATTGGACAAAGGGTTTCAATGCATCAGATTGTGAGGGCCAAGATGTTGTATGTCTGCTGCGGGAAGCCATCGGGCGGAGACAGGTGAGGAGTCTGCCTCTAGGGGTGTTTTGGGGCTGTGGTAGGCCTTGAAGGGAGCAAAGGGTCTCCTGCTTCCTGACCCAAGGGGTGGAGTGGGTGGCTCTCTGCAGTAGAGACCTTTGGGTCCAGTGCTGGTTGCCGTGACGACCACGTCGCCCAGCAACTAGCAGCATCCTTTTGTGTGCAGGCAGTGAAGCTGAATGTGGTTGCCATTGTCAATGACACGGTGGGGACCATGATGTCCTGTGGCTATGAGGATCCCCGTTGTGAGATCGGCCTCATTGTTGGTGAGGAGGGCCCTGCTTTCTTGTGCTCCTACTGCCTGGTGTTAATTCATTATTTCCTGTTGATTCTTCAGGTTGGACATTCCCCTGGTTTTGGGGATGTGGCATCTTTCCTGCCTGACCCAACTGCCTGCAACACTCATTTGGACTTGGTGTCTAAACTTTGGTTGTTTAGCCCACCTCAGCTACTGATTCACAGTCATTTAAGCTCTTTGAGCCTCAGTTTGCCCTTCAATTAAATGACTCTCAGCTTTAGAGTCCTGCAGATTTAGGTGGAAATACTTGCTCTGCCACTTCTATCTGTATGACCTTGGCCAAATCACCAGAGCCTCAGTTTTCTTCTAAGAGGGAGATAATAATGATGCCTATCTCAAGGGTCATGAGCATGAAATGAGAGGCAACAAAGTGTGGGATAGTGCCTCGTTCATGGTACACACTCAGTGCTTGGAACTGGATAGAGACTGGGGGTGGAGGATGGAGAATGAGCTGTGAAGGTCCTTCGGTCCATGGTCCTAAGTCTTTATTAAGCATTTCTCCTCTGGCCAGATAGCGGCTGGATGAAAGGACAGGAAGACACATAAAGACACAGGAAATACCTGTCTTCTCAAAACTGACCACGGGGTGCATGGCTGGCTCCGTCAGAGGAGCAAGCCACTATTGATCTCAGGATCGTGAGTTCAAGTCCCATGTTTGGTATAGAGATTACTAAATAAATTTTTAAAAAACACAAAAAACCTTTAAATGACCGTTTTAGTGGGGATTGAGCCCAGAGCAGCATGTGGCAATCAGAGAGAGCTGAATCTGACTCTACACATCACAGGGTGACAAGGCCAAGATCAGAAAGGAAGTGATCCCAACACGAATGGGGCTTGATAAGAGAGGTTGGTCTAGGCAGGGGAAGAGGGCTCCCACAGCTCCTTGGGCAGTCTCCTAGAGAAGGAGGTATGTAGTATGTAGGTATGTAGTAGCCTTCCATTAAACTGGGAGCTTCCTGAACATGGAACTTAGCATAGAGAGATGCTCAGGAGAGGTGTGCCCAGATTGCTGTGTGAATAAACAACTAGTCAGAGGAATTCCAAGTGGGGCTGACAAGGAGACCACCTGCCTAGAGTTGACCACGTACTGGGGGAGAGGGATGCACTTTTATTTGGGTGCATACAGGCACTATCAGAGTTAGCTGCTTACTGCCCAACCTTTGGCCACTGTAGGGCTCCTCATGTCTGAGTCCTGTCTATGTCTCCAGCTCCCAGTCCAGAACATCCTAGTTTGACTAAAGATGTGGAAAGCAAGTGTAGGGAGCTTGGGCCTCTCAACTGTAGGCAGCAGGGGGCAGAGGGGGCACTCTCATATATTTCCCAGGGGTGGTCTGGGGTAGCATGGAAGATACAGTGATGGTGGTCCTGGTACAGAAAGTAGTGGAGGCCCAGAGGGCTTGATGCTGCCAGGGTTTGCAGAAGGAATGTCAAGAAGGAAGGCATATCAGGATCTGGGACAGGTTGTTTGTGTGGGGAAATAGAGAGGTAACACACGAACCCAAATTTTGCCATCTTGGTCTTTGAAGGGTTCAGAGGAGTCGTATCTATGTCAGTAAATGGCTTCTACCCTGTCCGGCCTCTCTGCAGGAACTGGCACCAATGCCTGCTACATGGAAGAGCTTCGGAATATAGCATGTGTGGCTGGGGATTCAGGTCAAATGTGCATCAATATGGAGTGGGGAGCCTTTGGCGATGATGGCTCTCTGGGCTTGCTCAGAACCAGCTTTGATGCAAATGTGGACCAGGCATCCATCAACCCTGGCAAGCAGAGGTATGGGCTGGGTTGGAAAGGGGTGGCTGGCACTGGTTATGGTAGCAGGTGGGGTCTCCTGACCTTTGTGCACATATGCTTTCTTGCAGTTTTGAGAAGATGATCAGTGGCATGTACCTGGGGGAGATCGTCCGTCACATTCTCTTGCATTTGACCAGCCTTGGAGTTCTCTTCCGGGGCCAGCAGACCCAGTGCCTTCAGACCAGGGACATCTTCAAGACCAAATTTCTCTCTGAGATTGAAAGGTGCCTGGGGCCTGCATTGCCTCCTTCCACCTCCCAAAGGAATCTATCCACTTTGGGTAAAATGCTGGTTGGTGGGAGGTCCATTCCAGAGGATGGAGATTCATGAGGTGGGAGAGCTAATGCAGGACCCTGGCTCTCTGTGCTTTCTTCCTTCCTCTCTTCAGTGACAGCCTGGCTCTGAGGCAGGTCCGAGCCATCCTGGAGGATCTGGGGCTGCCCCTGACCTCAGATGATGCCCTGATGGTTCTGGAGGTGTGCCAGGCTGTGTCTCAGCGGGCTGCCCAGCTCTGTGGGGCGGGTGTGGCTGCCGTGGTGGAGAAGATCCGTGAGAACCGGGGCCTAGATGAGCTGACCATATCCGTGGGGGTGGATGGGACCCTCTACAAGCTGCACCCCCAGTGAGTCTGGGTGCTGGGCTGAGCAGGGAGGCATGGTGGGCTGGGGTCTGGCTGGCCTGGTCTCACCTCAGCCATTCCTCTTCACAGCTTCTCCGGCCTGGTGGCAGCCACAGTCAGGGAGCTAGCCCCCCGCTGTGTGGTCACCTTCCTGCAGTCGGAAGACGGGTCTGGCAAAGGTGCAGCCCTGGTCACTGCGGTTGCCTGCCGCCTTGCCCAGATGGACCATGTTTGAAGAAGTCTCCAGGAGCTACCCTTGCTGGACCAGGGCCCAGGGCTTACTTGTCCCCAGCTACCCAGGACTCCCAGAATAGCCCAAGTGTGGCCCTTCTGTGGCCACTAGCCTTGACCTCTGGCTTTCCCAGAGAGAAGTAGCACTTGGGTTAGCAATATATATATATAATTTATTTACATTCACGTCCGCTAAAATCCCTACGCGCCCCGGCGGCCGGGCAAGGCTGTGTACATAAGGCCAAGTGTAAGTGCACGAATGCACTTAAGACAGAGTCAGGGCACGAGCTTCACACAACAGACCCCACATGGGGGAACCGGCCAGCCCCAGGAGTGGGCACGCCACAGCACGCACACTTGCCATTGTCCAGCCCGGGACTCCCATTGCATATTCACATGCCCTGTTGGGCAGGGCTCCTCCAGGCTGGGGGTAGGGGGAGGATCAGAGAGGAGCCATTGGGTGTCCCTGGGTGGGTGGGAGAAGGGCAGCATGTGAGAGGCAGATGTGGACTGATACTGGGTGTGAGAGACGTGAGTGGCCTCCAGGTGTACAGCATGAGGTGTGTGTGTGTGTGTGTGTGTGTGTGTGTGTGTGTGTGTGTAGAGGGGGAGTATGTGAGATGAGAACACGAGACATGCATGGGCACATGCCCGTGTGGTGGTCATGTGCCTGAACCCAGGGGCCGCCCTTTGTCCAGCTGTGGCCCTCAATCTCACAGGCTTGGAGCCAGGCCCCTCAGATGTACCCCTACCTGGCAGGCACAGAAATGTTTGCATAAGGTCCAGCTCAGGCAGGAGCTCTGGGGGCCATGTCCCGAGCCCAGCGTGTGCGTGCGTGCCCGTGTGTATGCGGCCTTCTGGCCAGGGGCAGGAGGAGAGGTAGCATCACACGCACATACACACACACAGATGGGCTGGGCCTGGCTTGGGCTCTAGGCACTGTCCACCCTGGGCCCCAGAGGTCAGGGCAGGGTCAGATCAGGTGGCAGTGCCAGCCTGGCCAGGCAGGCCTTGGAGGGGTGGAAATGTAGGCAGGGTCTGAAGGGCCAGTGTTAAGGGACAGTGTCTGCCAGGAGGGGGCCTGTCCACACAGCTCCCCCTGAGTGTAGGGGAAGGGCCCCGTCTGGCATCTGTCCGTCCCTGGTGGGTGCCAAAGCTGGTGAGAGTGTAGGCGTTGTAGGCCTGGCTGGCCTCAGCACTCCGCCTCTGACACCGTGAAGAGGCCAGCGTCTGGCTGGCCCAGTCCAGCTACTGCTGCAGCCAGCTGGCTGAGGTTGCCGTTGGGGAAGTGCCGTGCCTCCCACAGGTTGAGGATCATGGCTGTGGGGCTGGGCTTGGAGGCAAAGAAGCTGAGATGGCTGTGGAGGGGGGGGAGGGGGGGGCGGGACAGGAGCCAGTCAGCAGCCCTGCCTTACCCCAGGCTGGACTCTCCTGTCCCTCAGCCCACCCAAGGGCAAGACCTCCCCTCGGCCAGGTGCACCAACCACCCTGGATGCTGGTAGATGGGATGCAAGCCCCACAGAGCTTCCTGACCATCCCACCCATCCTACCCCACCAGGATGGACTGCAGGTGGCCTTTGCAGCCCCTCCTTGCCCATTTCCTACCCACCTGTCCAGGTGGAGTTTCTGGGCCAGAGTCCGCCAATCGGCACCCCGGCTACAGGGTGGGTCGAGGCTGGTAATGATCTTCTGCCGAATGAGGAAGGGGATCTTGAAGGCACTGGGGCCCACTAGGGCTGGGACCCCCCCTTCACTCTCCAGAGCCAGCAGCTCAGCAAATCTCGTGTCCTGGGGGCAGGGCAGGGGGGAGGTACCTGTTAGAACTTTCATGGCCCAGGCCCACTGCCACCTCCTGCTGGGGGAGTATCCAGACCACCTCAGAGCATTTGGGGCAGCATGGGTATTGTTTTCTGGGCATTCCTAGTGTGGTGGGGCCCTGCTCACACTAGAGCTTAGAGGGTCCCAAGGCTCAGAGGTATGGCGACCTGTCCAAAGCCACACAGCCAGTGAGTAGGAGAGCTGTCTAGCCTCATTCCTTTCCTCCTCTTCCCATCACTGCTCCCCAGGTCACCTCTACTGACCACTCAGAACTCCCCGAACTCTTCTCACTGCCTTTGTCCTTCGCACCTAGTTCCCACTGCCAGAAGCCCCCTTTTGCCGATTGCTGCCTGTCTCTTACTCATCCTTGGAGGCACTGTACAACGTCCCTCCTCCTGGAAGCCCCAGGTCCCCCAGGTGGCTCTGTCTGTCCCTCTTGCTGCTCCCACATCCTCTTCAATCTCTACCCCATGTCAGACTGCAATTGCATCTGTCTGCATCTGTCTGTTTGCATCTGCACCTCTCTCCCTGGAGACTTGGAGGAAGCTGCTAAGCAGTTTCTGGGAGGAGGTGGGCTTGGTGGCAGGGTAGGCCCAGTGAGAAGGGGGGGGTGGTGCAGGCACATTTCAGCAGTGCTGACACCCCCTTCTGCTTACCTTAGTGATGTTGAAGTTGATATTGAAGCTCTGCCCATCGCCTTCCACCTGCCACACCCACACCTTGCAGGCCAGGTCACTGATGCTGGGGCTGACACGCTCCAAGGTGAAGGTGCAGTGCAGGTACTGTTGCGTGCCATTCCAGATGTGATAAAAGGGGATCTCCTGAGGGGATGGGCAGACAGGCTGCATCAGGTGTGCCCGGCATCCGGTGTGCCCACTCCAGGCACCCTGAGCGCCCTCACCTGGTAGCTGACGAGGAGCTTGCTCTTCCACAGGGAGCTGGGCACATCGTGGATGGATAGGCGCAGGTTGTGGTAACTGTCCTTGAAGTGAAGGACTCGAGGCTCCTGGATCAGCTGTCCTCCCAGCTGCTTCTCCAGCTGTACCACCTCCTGTGGCACGCCCCAGGTTGTCAGCTGAGCCTGGGGCCCAGCGCACTCTCCCCACTGCCACCCCTCCCAGAGCGCCTCCCCGTGGCAGGGTGGGGGGCACGTGGTACCTTGAGTGCGTCGTGGGTGTCATGTAGGCAGTAGACTCGGATGTTGTACTCGAGGGAGGTGCAGGCCACGGGGGCAAACAGAAGCAGCTTGAGGCGCTTGGTCGCGGCCACGCTGAGGGCCTCTCCCACCAGGGCAAAGCGGCCCAGCTGCTCAGTGAAGACGTAGCAGGCGCCGGCCTCCAGCTGGCAGTAGTAGAGGTGGGAGGGTGCCTCCTCACCCAGGTGCAGCACATCCTGCAGGCAGGGCCCGATGGGTCAGCTCCCAGCCAACTACAACTCTGAGGAGCGGCCAGACTGGGGAGAGGGTGGCTCGAGGGCCAGGTGGAAAGCCCAGGCTCAACGCTGAGCCCTGTGCTCAGGTGGATGGGCTCAGGGCCATTCCTGCTCACCTCCCAGCTGCCCTCACAGGACTGCTTCTTGAGGCGCAGGCTCCAGCTCTCCGGGCAGGGCTCCCCACAGTGGTCCATGGCGAGGATGACAGGCCGAGTGAGCAGGACTCCAGGGGGCCCACAGCTAACGATGGGACTCAGCAGGGTCTGGCAGCCAGCTAGGGGCAACCTCAAGTGGGGAAATATGGGTGCAGAGGGAAAGGCGTCAGTGGGCTGTCTCGGGCATTGGCTGGGGCAGGGTAGCGGCACACCAGGTTGGTGGCCCCAGAGCTGGGTGGAGCTTCTATGGGCAGTCCTTCCCTGCCCTCCCTATGGCTATGCCAGACCAAGTCCGACAGTGGGTGAGCAGGGGGCATCATGGTGACTGCAGGCAGAGGGCAGACCCCGCCCAACCCCAGCAGCAGGGCCCACGCCCACACCTCACATCCTCCGGCTTGTGCAGCGTGAGGTAGATCTCGTAGATCTTTCCTCGGGGTATGGCATCTGGGGGAATGAGGAGGCTGATCCCTGTGGCAAAGTGGGAGGAGGGCTTGGGGTTACCGGGGTTGCAAAAGACACCAAACACCCTACTCTGCCAGCTCCTACAGGAGCCTCCCTTTGAGGATGGACTGGTGCCAGCCTGGCCTAGGGGACAGAGGTGCCACAGACACTGCCAGGCGGTCCAACTATCCACACAGGCATGAAATTGAGTCCTAGTGGCTCCAAGAGAGGCTGAGGGAACTCAGGTGGGAAAAGCATGCCTGGTTAGCGTGGGCACAGAAACCTCTGAAACAAAATGTGTCAGGCATGCTGTACCTACCTGACCCATCACCCAAAAGGCACTGGGTGGGACCAGGGAACTCCCTGCTTAAAACCTTTGCTGCTTCCAGCATACAGTCCAGCTTGCTGGCCTGGCATTTAAGACCCTTCACCTCTGACCCCAGCTGCCTTTCCAGCAGCTCCTTCAGCCTAGCCTGTGCTGTATACTTGGCCATTCTGGAGCCACTTTCCTGAGCACCCCTCTGCCTGGATGCCTTGCCCTCCGGGAAAGGATGCTTTCCTCCTCTCCATCAGCCCTTGCCATCTTTGGGGATAACCATTCTCTCCCACCATGACTTTGCTCCTCATTTGGCAATGGCCCCTGCAGGTGGGGCTGGGGCCTTTAACAACTTGGTGGCTTTGGTAGCCTTCCCTGATTGGGGAGCCACTGCCCACTGTCTGGTTGGTTCACCTCCTTCCCAGGGTCTTATAGGGCAGCATCAGAAGTGCCTGCTCAGTGAGGAGTGGTTCCCGGGGAGGCACAATGGGACAAGGGCGGCAGAGTTCCTCTGGGGGATGGCAAAGGATGATCCTACTTCACCTTCCTGTTCTTTTAAGACAGGGAGCCCCTGAACCAGAAGGGGCTTCAGAGGCTAGTGGCCAGGGAAGGGAAGGAATTCTATCACTTTATCCCACCAAGTCCAAAAGCTTACATTTACAGTCCAGAGTGGGTAACTCTGAGATGGGCTGCTTGGGATATTGCTACTTCCCAGCAACTAAAGCCCAGGAGATGGCATATTTACAGCTACTGCTCCCTTCATCAGCTCTGTGCTACCTTCTGGTAATGGCTGCTAGTGTTGGTGACAGTCCCAGAGATCCGTGTATGAATGCTCTCTGGGGCAGAGGTATACACACTTGCACACCCATTCAATGGATGCTAATGTTGAGTACTTGGGGCAGTGAGGGAAAACCACGGGCCCTGCTCTCATGAGGTGTCAGCTCCGCGGGTAAAAAGACAAGTGGATGGTGGTTAAGGGTGCTGGGGGAGAGCAGGGAGGAACAGCAGCCCCCATGCCCCAGGGGCAATGAAAGTCTGATGGTCACCGAGTGCCCACTGTGCACCTGTCCCTTTCTAAGAGCTTGACATGGACCATCTCACCTCATCATCCTAGCAGCCCCGTGAGGAGGACATGAGGCACAGAGAGGGAGAGCTGCCAGGCCAAAACCTGAATGAGAAGTAGCAGATGAGTCAGTGAATGGGGGCAGAGGGATCCGTGTGTGCGAAGGGCAGCACGGTGTGCCTGGAGTGCTAAGAGCCCACCATGACTGCCATGTGCAGGAAGACTGCACAAGAGGGAAGGGGCCACGGTAGCTGGCCGGCAGGGGACAGGTCACTGCGGCCTTGTCATGTGGGCTTTGTGGGGGGCATTGTGGAGTCCCAAAAACAGTTCGAGAAGGGGAGGGACATGATTAAGTCTGATGTCACTGGGTGAATGCTTGAGGTAGGTGTGGTGGCCTGAGCCTGAAAAGGCAGTAGGGAGGAGAGCCAGAAGGATGCAGGAGTATTTGAGGAGGAAGGATGATGGAATTGGTGTGTGACTGACTAAAGCTATTGTGGAGGTGAGGGGCACAAGTGAAAAAGAGCGGGAGGTCAAGGTGACCTCCAGTTTCTGGCTTGAGCCACTTGACTCCGCTGTTCCTGAGGTGGGGAAAGCCAGGAAGCAGGAAGTTCTGGGGGAGGGTGGAAGACAGTGCTGTTTTAGGCACCAGGAATCTGAGGTGCTGTGAGACATCCAGATGGAGCTGCCCAGGAGGCAGCTGGGTGTATGATTCTGTCGCCCAGGAGAAATGTAGCTGGCTGGAGGAGTGGGAGTGATCTGCACAGACATGGCGATTAAAGCCATGGAGTAGGCGCGACTGCTTGGCGAGAGGATGCCAGGAGGGAGCTCTCAGGAACACCTATATTCAGGGAACAGGCACCACGAGCAGCTGGAGAGGGGCAAGAAAATCAGGGGGCAAGTGGGGTCATCTCAGCTGAGGGAATAGAGAATTTCAAGGTGGGAACATCAGTGGCTGCTGTGCTTCCTCAAAAGGTGACTATGGGTGTAGAGATTACTGAAAATCTTAAAAAAAAAAAAAAAAAAAGAAGACTATGGAAGGGGTCTGTGGATTCTCTATCACGAGGGGTTTCTGTGAGGTGGTGGGTGGAGGGGTCCCCTGTTCAGATGTTTGTCATCTGCCATCTCTCCACTAGTTCGCCAGCTCCTTGGGGCTGGCACCTGCCCTACCTCTGGGCCCAGGGCCCAACGTAGAATCCAGCACACACAGGCTGGCTGACTGTGGAAATGAATGCACAGAAGTCCTGTGCCCTCAGGTAACAGAAGGGAGACACTCCAGCCATGGCCTTAGTGCCTGCCCTACTGCCAGATGCGACTGGATCCTCTCCAAAACTCTGTCCCCTTTCCTTGCTGGCCCGGCTCAGCACTTGGGGTGAGGCTGAGCAGCACAGAAAGAACATCAGAGCTGTCCTGTCCTTCTCTAGGAGGGACACAGAGGCTAGTCTTGCCTTTTAGAGCTCCCCGGGGCACTCTGGGGTCCTTCCCACCTGTATTAGGGATCATCAGCCGGCCCCCGAGGAAGTTGAAGGTCCCATAGGTCATGTTGCTGGTGCCGCGGGGCAAGGAGCGGAAGTAGTTCTGGGTAGAGAGGCGGGAGACGAAGTCCTCGGCCTCAGAGGTGGGTGAGCTGTGGTGCAGCGTGTGGCGCCCACCACCCAGCGGGCTGAGTAGGTGCCCATTGGCGAGCTGGAACTTGGGGCTTGGCCCGTCCTGCCGGGGACACAGACTGCCCTGGCAGGTGGTGGTGGTGGTGCTGAGGTCTGGCTGGATGGTGAGCAGGTGGGGATTGTCTGCAAGGGTAAAGATAGACTCAGTGTGTGGCACTGAGGTGGCACTGGCAGCTCGTGGTGTGGGGGCCTGGCAAGAGTGGGGGGGAGGGGCACCCCACCTGCTTTGCTGGGCTTGATGCTGACAGGCTGGAAGCCTGAGGTGAGGATGGACGAGTCAGCCACGTCTGAGTCTAGCCCTTCCTTCTTGCGGCAATAAACAAGGATGAGGACGAGCAGCAGCAGGAGGAGGCACACGGCCACAGCAATTAGGCCCACGTAGAGGGCCACGTCCTCAGGCCCGGAAGCAGCTGCGGGAAAGAGCGCGGCCTTGGGAGGGGCAGGGTGCAGGAGGCCGGGAAGGAGAGGTCAGCGGTCTACACCCCAGGAGGATGAGGCGCTCACTCCTTGGGCATCAGCACTAGTGGGGCTGCAGATGCTGGTGGCAGGGAGCATGGAGTCAGCACGTGTGCATCTCAGTCCTGCATCTGCTGCCACCTTGCCGTGTCACTTTTGGCAAATCCTATCTCTCACTGCTCCATTCGGTCTGAGGTTGCTGCTACTGAAGGATGGAGAAGGGGAAGAGACACTTCCCCGGACAGCCCCAGGGGGCTGCTGGGCTCAAGGGAAGCTCCTGGGATCCCCAAAGTAGGGGATCTGCTTCTTGGGGGAGGGTCTGCCAATCTGGTTCCTAGCCATGTCCCTGGGCCAGAAGCAGGGGTGCTGGGGCTCTTCTCCTTGTCTGCCTCCCCAGGCCCAAGGCAGGGCTGGGGAGGGGGTGATTGACTGCCTGGAGGAAGCTTATATTGATTTTAGAAGGGTTTTGCATAATAGGAGAAATGTCCATCAGAAAGGAATTGACACAGATAATTAGGTTTTTAATTGAAAGAATGGGGGAGGGTGTGTTCTAGAGAAAAAATCCAACAGAGATCTTTAATTGTTAGTTATGGCCTTGTAATTAACAGGCCTCACAAGCCTGGTGTCCCCAAAGGACTTCTGTGTGCACTTGGGGGACCATGTGGAGGTGAAGCTGCAGGAGAGGAGGGGGATCCAGGGGCCTGGTGTACATGGTAAAAGTTCACACGTATGCATGTTTCATGAGAGGTGAGAGAGGTATTGGGGTGTTCATGGGCACATGTGTGGGTGTGTTAGGGATGGGGAGTTCCCAAGGGTCCTAAACTTTGGAGAAGGGGGTACAGCCTGTGGCAGGGGGCTGATTCCCTTTAGCCATCATCTCCCTGGGGCTGGTCAGGGGCAATACTGGCAAACTCAAGAGGACTCCTGGGGCAGAGAGGACTCACTGTGCACGCAGAGGTCGCTGGTACAATTTCGGGTGTCCAGGTCAGCACCCCGGCACTCCTCACCTCCATTGCGGGGAGCTGGGTCAGAACACTCACGACTCCGCCAGTGGGTGCAGTCGAGCCCACAGGCCGACCACTTGCTCCACGGGCTCCAGCTGCCGTCCACTAGACGAGAGACAGACATGAACACAGAGGAGATGGTGCAGTTAGCCTGGGCATCCAGCCTAGGCAGTTTGCCAGTGCGGCCCTGCTGGGCATCCAGACCTAGGTGCGATGTGGTAAGGAGCACACCCTCTGGTGTCCAGCTGGCCTGGATGACGCATGCTAATGACAGGAGGCACGATGATGCCGGGCCTGCTTTGCTCTATCCACACTATGGGGCCATCCTGGCCCTGGGGCAGCAAGGGTACTTGGTCCCGCGATGACCCTCTGATTCCAGGCATAGGTGGTTCTGTGGCCTCAGGCGGTGCCCTGCCCCTGCCCCTCACTGTCTGTACCTGTCCTGATCGAACCTCAGCCTCTGTGACTCAGCCCCTCTGCCAAGGCCTAGCCTGGACACAGACCAAGCCCTGCTTCTGATCACACTAAACCCCATCCCAGCCTCGGACTGAGCCTGGCCCTGTGTGGGGGCGGGTGGGATGGAGCCATGGGGGGCAGGCTGGTGGGCACAATGGAGCCAGGGCACGGAGATGGCGTGGTGAGGAGCGATGCGGGAGGCGGCGGCCACTGGTACCTGGGCACAGGGTGGCGCAGGCTGTTTTCTGGACATTCTGTCCCTCACAGAAGGCACCCCCGTTGAGAGGCGCCGGGTTGGTGCAGCTCCGGCTCCGTTTCTGCCAGCCGCGCCCACAGCTGGCGCTGCAGACGGACCACTCGGTCCACGTCGACCACCCACCGTTCACTGGCCGGACAGAGAAGGACTGGGGTCAGGGAGCGGGGGGCTTCCTCAGACACGCTGGCCCAGGGGCCAGGGCAGGAGGGCGGAGGGGCTGTGAGCTGGAAATGGGCGGCCTATGGCTGTGCTGGTGAAGAGGCCCTGGAGGGGAGCCCATGCTTATGCTCACCGGCCCCCAGGGCCTGGCACTACCCACTCCACAGCCCCTTCTCCCAGCAGGTACTGCAAGCGCTCAGGGCGGCCAGCCCTAGCTGCAGCTCCCATGCTCCTCCGGCCCAGAGCCCAGTCTTTCATGCGGGCAACTCCTGCACCCGCCCCCTCTGCCTGCTCCTGGGGTGCCTGGAACATTCTACTTCCCACACCTGGGACACAGGAGCACAGGCTGTAGTCTGTCACCTTTCCTAGATTCCCATCCTGTGCCCTCATCTCCATCTATACGATGTCCCTGGCCCACAGGTAAGCCAAGGGATGGTCCAGCCACAGAGGACTACCACCTGTCCCATACCTCTTGCCCAGATATGCCCCTCGGCTCCCAGACAGCCACAGCAAGCCCTCTCCCTGTCCTTCCCAGTGAGGCCACGGCCTGGTCTGCTGGGCCCTGGCTCTAGGGGAGCCACCAACATGTCGTCACCCCATCTCCCTAAGCCTGGGAGCCCCTCTGCCCCACCAGCGCTGGGGCCCACCGTAGACGATGACAGCAGCCGAGGCGCTGCGGCGACGCGCTACGATGTTCTTGGCCACGCAGGTGTAGTTGGCCGTGTCGGCCAGGCGGGCCTGTCGCACCACCAGGCTGTGCTCCCTTGTGATGTACACATTGGGGTCCAGGGACGGGTCCACCAGGTCCTCGTTCCGGAGCCACTCCACCTGGGGGAGGGAGCCACGCCACTGCACTGCCCGCCCACGCTGGCCCTACCTGGAGCAAGAGCAGCCTCTGGGGGCGTCAGGGCAGGCAGGACCTGAGACCTGGGAGCCCTACCCACCTGCGGAGCGGGCACCAGAGCCCCTCTCACCTCAGCCGGGGGTATGCCCTCTGGTGGGCGGCAGGGCAGCACAATGCCCTGCTCCAGGGACACCTCCTTGGCCAGCGGCTCCTGCTCGAAGTTCTTGCGCAAATCTGGGAGAAGAACAAGAGCGTCCTCCAGCCTGAGTGCCTCATGCCAGCTTCGCCTGGCTGACCCATACCCTGGTCCCATGGGGCTGTGGCACATGGCAGGAGAAAGTGCCGAGTGACCAGGGGGAACGTGGGGGTGGCTGGGCTGTGTGCAGAGGCACTTTCTCCACCCATCAAGGCAGGCCCTGAGGTTTTTCTGACCAGACTCTTTCCCCTAGTGATACCCTCCGGCCACCCCTGACCGAGGGCTAGGCCCTGGACTCACACGCAATGCGGATGTAGGCCTTCTGACTCTTGGTGGTGCCCGAGGAACTCCACGCCACACACTGGCACCAGTACTCCTCCAGCCCAAACACCTTCTCCACCTGCTGCCTTGAGACATTGATGCGGACCTCCATGGCGGGCAGCCCTGGGGGGCAGGAGGGGTCCTGGTCATGCCAAGCCTCACACATTTCTTGCCGTCTAGATGTGTGGGGTCCGTGCACCACCAGGGCCACTCTGCTCAGAAGGAGCAGCCTGGAGGGAACTCTGGGGGAGTCCCAGGGGGCACTCCATTTATATCTCCCGAAGGCCAGGAGCCAGTCCTTAGCTCTTCCATTCATTATACTTTTTTACCCCAGGCTTGTCCCCCAGAGTCACAGAAATCTCTCTAAATGGGCTTCCTGTTGTTTCAGAGACAACAGCACAGAGGAGCTTTGGGCTATAGGGGCTGGCCTTCAAGGACCCAAGGCACAAGGGGTGAGGTAGATAGGAGGGCCCTAGGGCCTTTGAGTATTAAAAAAAAAAGTGAGGAAGGATCTGGTTCACCTCCCTAGGGGTTAGCAGGTAGATCCTGACATGTGATAATATAGTAACAGCTATTAACAATATAATTACAGCGATTATGTAGTATGATAATAGACCCCTGGGGCTTAGCCAGGGTTTCCCACATGCTGGCTTATTTTCTTCAATCTACTCCCTTGGTCGGCATTGCTCCCACTCCCTGGATAAGGAAACAGGCTTAGAGAGGCAGTGACTTGCCCACCCCATGGGAGAAACGCTGGTGAGGGTGAGGGGGCAGTCTGCAAAGGTGAAGCTGGCAGGTATCCGGGACCCTCTCTGCCCTAACTGGGATGGGCGAAGAGACCCCTCTCAAGGACAGACTCAGCCTCCCTGTCCTCTGCCACACCTGGGCACGCCAGTTGGGGGTGAGGGGAAGGGGACAGATCCTCTGAGGACCCTGAAGGGGAAATGCCAGCCCTCCCCTGGGCCCCTGGCCCTTGGCAAAGACCAGTGTCCCCAGGAGTGAAAAAAGACTTTCCAATTTCTCCTCCTCCTGACCCCAATTTCCCTCGGGTCATTGGCTTATCAGAAAGAGGGAGAGAGGCTGGGCAACCAATGTGTTTCCATTGTTAACAGAGAAATTCAATTAGGGCTGCATTGCAGGGGGAGCAGCAGCCCAGCTGAGCAGGCAGTCTGGGAGACTGTTTTCCCTCTTAATTTCTCTAACACGTCTTTCTCTGACCCTTGCCCAGACCCCTCGCCATGAGTCTCTCTCCAACTCCCACACAGGGCCCCCAGATTTTTCTCACTTGCCCCCGCCACCAGCAAGTTCCCATAGGAGACCTCTGGCTGAGGTCATCATGGTTGAGCTCCCTTTGTTCTGGGCACTGCCTGGCACCCCTTCTCTCGAAGGTGAAGGATGTGTGCATTCTCTGGGGGTAGAGAGTGAGGCTGAGAACTGAGGGTCCCTCACAGGGTATGTGTATAGAAGGACCCTGGACTCCAGCTACTTGTCAAGTACATCAGAGTCTTGGGGCATCTGAGAAGAAGCCAGCCGTGCATACACTTGGGGGTGGAGAGAGGGCCCTCCTGCTCTAAGTCTTGGGGGTTAGTGGTGAGAGACTTCCAGAACATTCTGAACTGGGTACTTTTCCTGAGTGGACAGGTCTGTGGATGGATGGACCGTTCCATCCCTCATGGTGGTGGTGGGAGCTCAGGAAACTCAGTCCGGGGAGAACGGCACTAAATTTAAGCACTCCTATTTCTTTCTCCCCGTCTCCTCCCCTCTCTGTCCTGCCACTGCCACCCCCTCATCTCCTTCCTGCTGCCATGAAGGAGGGCCAAGTTTGTCCACGATGTCCCAGATCCAGGCATTGGCCTCGAGCCTCACATGCTCCAGGAGGCTGGTGGACCCAGGGGGAGACCCAGACCCTACCCTGCTGGTCTTGGATGTGAAGACAGTGCCTTCCTCCCTGTAGGTCACTGAGCAGAGGCCAGGGGAGGAAGGATGCAGGGTCCCTACTGGCCCCAGAGTGTGTGGGGTGTGAGTGGGTGTGTGAATGCTGCAGGCACATGGGGAGGCCCCAGTGTGGGTGTGCTGGGTATTTTTGGGAGGTGGAGGGTTAGCGGGGTTGGGGGTGGGGCTCTGAGGCCAAGTTTGGGCTTAGGTTCTCATGTTCTCACCAATCTAATAACCAGCTTGTTTAACACACAATAAATTGCACTTCCAGGCGGGACTTCAATGCTTGGCTTCCCAGATTTGGGGCTTTTATAGCATTAGCAGATTTGGGTTTGAGGGTTTTCAGGCTTTGGTCCCTCCTCCTGGCTTTCTGGATGGAAATGGGGACAAGTGAGGGAAGACAGGGGTGCTGTCTCCTGGGGGTGTCCACCCAGCTACCCACACAGGAATGGGAGGGGCTGTGGATCTGTGCTGACCAATGACTCCACCATACACGCCTGACCACAGAGCGTTCCTGGGGCAGGGCTTTTGGTCTGAGTGTCTGCATGGTGCCACTGCCCACTGCAGTGACATCTGTTTGTGAGCCTATCTTTTCTCAAAGCCCTCAATGGCTTTAGGTTGAGAAATCAATAAGATCCATACAAATTCAGATGTGCTAGCCATGGGAGGCTTGCGTTTGGATGCTCAGGGCAGGAGAGGGCCCCAGTGATTATGGGCATGATATGTCCCCGTGAGCTGTGCTCTCTGCCTGGTTTGAAGGGAGCAAGACCAGAGGAGTCGCTGGGGTGGAGGCTGTTGGCATGTGTGGCCCAGCCTGTGACTGCTATGCAGGCATTGACCTGGGTCTTGGCCAAGCCATGGATTTCAGAATTCCTGATGGTAGGAGACAAGGAGGGGTGTGTGGGGACACCTAGAAAGAGGGGCTGGGAGCAGCAAGGAGGCTGACCTGGAGCCTTCTAAGGAGTTCCAGAGAGGCCCTCAATGATGCAGGAAGGCAGGTCTCTGACTGTATCTTCCTCCTCATCACCTGTCCTTTCCCTGGGGGATCTGCCACAGCAGTGGGAGGACTCATAATGTCCTGAAGTGGTGCTGGGCCCTGGGTGTGGGGTAGGGAGAGAGGAGAGGCCTGGAGCTGGGCTCACACAGGATGCATGAGGTCTCATGGCTTCCCCACCAACTTACCAGCTCCCGCCCCCATTTTGCAGAAGAGGAAACTGAGGCCCAGGGAGGGGAGGCAGATACTCCCACTGGGTCTTGAAGTTGCAAAGGCAGCAAAGTTTCTGGTATCTCTGCTGGGGCCCAAAGGTGGGGGATCATCTTGGGGGCTAACCTAGGCCTGGCACAGTGCAGGTCCTCAGTTCACCTCTGAGGACTGCAAGAAAACAGCTGCACGCAGCAGCGGTGTGGTGGCCACTGCAGAGCCCAAGGGCCTGGGCAGGAATCGCTGGGGAGCTGACGCCTGGCAGCTAAGTCTGGTAGGGGAGAGTTGGGCGTGGCTTCTAGGGACCAGAATGCGTGGTTGGAGCCCTTTTGGGGCCCTGGATGAGTCAGAGCCATCCATAACATGACAGGATGGTTCTGAGGACTCAATCACCCTCTGCCAAAACTCAGGGCTCCTTTGTTCACATCCCGGTTATTTTGAGAGCTTCCAAGTTCTCCTAGGCAGGGCCAGGAGAACTTGCCCAGTCTGCTTCTGCCCAGTACCAACTTTCCACAGAGTTCTAGTGCGATCATGACCCTATTCAGCTGCCTGATCCCCAGGCCCACTCTTCCTGCCCATACCGGGGTCCCCGCAGGCCAGCCTGCCCTTCCTGCATTTGCACTTTCTGGTCCTTTGTCCTCGGAAATGCTTGTTCCTAGAGGTTTTAAGACTCACGCTTAGAAAGTACTCCTTCTCTGAAATCTTTCCTGGACTACCCAGCCCCACCTGCCTCGTGGCATGGGCCACCCCTCTGGGTCTAGGGTCTCTTGCCTGCCTTGACATCTATGTGAGTCGTCCTGGGCATGGCCTGCCTGTCTTCATCTGCTCCGCTGCTCTGGCCTCCCACTGGTGGCCGTGCCCCCACAGACTGTGTGCTATGTCTTGGGACTCAACCTGAGGGGCTCCTCATGTGTGGGGGCTTCACAAAGTGCCAAGGTGAAGGGAGAGGAAATGGACTTCATTGGGGTCCAAATAGTGAGGAGGAGGAGAGGCTGTAGTCAGCTCCACTAGGCCTGCTCTTGGAGAGTGCTGGACCCCAAACAAGGGCTCTCTGCCCATATCCCCACTGGCTGCCTGTTGCCCAAGGCCAGGGCAGGGGCAGGGAATGGGGCGTCCCACAGAAAGGGCACTTCTTGAGTTTGTCTGCTGTCTCTGGAACCCCCCCCTCCATGTCTCAGCTCAGTCTCACTGGTTCCCTCTCCTCAGTGTCTCTGGGTCTGCCCCTTCCATCAGCCTCCCCACCCCAATGGGCCCCAAGTGTCACTCACAGCTCTGGCCATGTCACCTGGCATTTTGAAATCCCACGGGACTGTGACCTCACTCCAGAACTCGAGGGGGGAGTCTCCCAGATGGTCCCACTGTTACAGGTGCACACCTCATACCTCCTTCCTGATCCTGACCAGCATGCCCTTCACTCCCGCTGAGCCCCTTTCCTGGAATGCCGTTCCCCTGTTCTTTCCCTGACCACCTCTCATAACCTCTTCGTTTCCATGTCACCTTCCCTGAGAAGCCTTAGTCATGCTTTCCTCTTTCTGCCGTAGCTCCCAGAACTCACGGGGAGGTCCCCATGCTGCCCACCTCTCTGCGAGGGTGGGGGCTCTCCGAGGGTGGTGGTGGTGCCCCCAGCATGAAAGTGGGGGCTCAGGGGATATGTGAAGAAGGAATGGGGGCACAGAGATCAAACAGAGGGTGAGGTCCCCATCATCTGGGACCTTCTCCCTCAAAACTCTCTTTGCTGGCACCTCTTACCAGACTGCTGGTAGCCCAGCCCAGGCTCAGATGCAATGGTGGGCACCTGCTCCTCCAACCATAGCCTCCTGGGCACTTGCGGGGGGCTTCCCTTTTACTCACTCTCCCACCTCCAGGTGGTGAGTTCTGGGGACGGCGGGGCCTCCTGGAGAAGGCCGCCATGTATATATAGAGGGTCCAAGGGGTGGGAATCCTGCCTCTTCTGGGGACCTGGGGTGGTGGCCACAGAGTTGGTTACATCCTGGCCTCCTGCTCACAGGTGTGCGGCCAGGGGCAACTGCGAGCCCCGCTCTGGGCCTCCATTTCCTCCGAAGCTGAGACTCGCTTCCCCGTCAACCGACCCTACCAGGTCCCCCAGCCCGGCCTCACCGCTGCTGTCATCCGTGCTGCGCTCTATCACATGGTCCACCTGGCGTACCCACTCCCCGTTGCACTTGAAGAAGATCTGCGTGGCAGGCATGGCCTTACACACCAGCAGCACCGGCTTGTTCTTGACGATGTACACATCCTCGGGCTCCACCAGGAAGTGGGGAAGCAGGTCTGGGTTGGCACCGGGTACGGGGTTGGCCACCGTGGCACTCTGCTGGGCACCTGCAGCAGGGGCAAAGAGGGAAGGTGAGCTGAGGCCTTTGCCACCCTTTCAGGGCCCTTGGGGGCTACATGCCCGTTTAGGTGCTGCGGCTGGGCCATGGGAAGGCAGCGGGTGGGGCCGATGGGAGGAGAGTGAGGCCAGGCTGCCACTGCCGGCCCAGCAATCTAGGCTACTGAATGCTCCCTTGAGCTTTGGCGTCCCCTCTGCAAAATGGGGGAAGCCCACCCACTTCTGAAGACTATAGAGAGATGAAATGAGACAAGGGCGGAAGTCCCAGCCCTTAGGAGGCCCTCCACACACAGCAGCAGTTAGGGCTCATTATTACTCTGGTAGAAGTTCGGGGATCTAGTGAGGCAGCCCACCGCCCTTGGAGGTCCAGAGAAAGCCAGAGGGAGGGAGAAGACTCTAGCAGGGCAGGTGGGGGAGGGCAGGGTCCCTTCCTCTCTTGCCCCAGCTGCCTCCAGGGCCACTTCTGGGTTCATCTCCATTCCTGTAAGTAGGAGGTGCTCAGAAAACAGCTTGTGAATGAAGCAGGGGAGGGGGCAGCTTTGAGGGGAGACATGGAGGAGGGAGGCGGGTGTTGGTGGCAGTGCTACAGGAGAGGCCCCTGGGTGGGGGAGAGCCTAGGCCCAGCCGGCAGCCTAGGTTGGGAGCCAGGAGAGTGTGTCTGGGAGCCTGAGAGACCTAGGCCATGTCCCACCCCTTCAAGGAGACCTGAATCTGGGCTTCCTTCTAATTTTAACTGAAAACCACAACCATCCCGCAAGTCATTTGTTGCTAATTACACAGGTAATTGGCTCTGAGGCTTTGGTGGAGATAACCGCCCCACACCTCCCCTGCACCCCTCCCCTCCGCCCAGCAGTCTGACTGTTGGGACAGCAGGAGCCTGAGAGGGTGGAGAAGGGTGAGTTGGGAGCCAGTGGGAGGATGGAGCGGGAGTTCCCTCTGCCTCTAGCCAGGTCCTGGCCAAACAGGCTCCCAACAGTCTGGTTTCCCTCAGGCTACTGTGACTTCCCCCACAAGCCACTCTGATGATCAACAGTGGCTTCTGGCCACAAAGAGGAAAGAACATGGGTTTCAGACACCAACTCTGCTCCTTGCTAGAGGTGACCTTGGGTGAAAGAGCCGTTTTGTCATCTGCGACACTGAGGTCCTGTCTGCCCCTCGGGAGAGTCTGGAAGAGCCTCACATGCTCTGCCTCTTGGGTTCTCTACTGTCTACCCTTTTGGGGGGCACTCGAAAACCCACAGAGGGCTTCTAACACAAGGAGGCCTGGCTCCTTAGGCCTTGATCCCTCTCTGCCCAGAGGGCATCCATGTGCCCTTTCTCTGCTGTTTAGCACAAGGTCTCTCTCTTTCCAAGGTAGGAGTCTGCCCTCCCCACCAAGGCTGATTTTGGAGAGGGGGTCTGCGCCTGGTCCTGTAGGTGTCCTGGGCCACCTCAGGTGAGCTGGGAATGGGCATGCCTCTGAGAGGCTGGAGCCCGGTGTGACTTCAGGCACGCCAGCCCACCCTCAGCCTGTGTCCCCGCTTGCCAGGTGCGTCACCCTCCTAGGCTGTTAAGAGAATGAAATGAGAAAAGGCACTCAGAGCAATGTCTTCCTGGTTGAGGGCTGATGAGGAAACTGAGGCACAGAGCCACAGATGCCTTGCCCTCGGGATGGGGGCAGGGGGTCATGGCCTTGTGTGGGAGGGACACAGGGAGGTGGAAGGCATTGCTGGCTCAGCAAGACAGCATCGGCAGTGGGGCCATCACCCCCCAGCTCCCCCTCAAGACCATGGCCTCTCTCCAGCTGGTCTCTTCCCTTGTGAACTCTTTTTGGAAGCCGCCCTTGGACTTGCCTGTACAAGCTCCAAGATGAAGGCCAACATGCTTAGGAACCACACTTGGAGTTGGGAAAACAAAAGCTCAGCTTTCCCTGTCTTGCCCCATCCCCATTCCCTCGGGGAGATCTATTTAGGTTGAGGACCATGGGGGGTGGAGGGGAGGAGCCATCTAGACACCTTACAGATGGGGAATCTGGGGTCCCAGGGGGAAGCCCCTCACTTCGGACCCCCTGGCTCGGGTCCTGGATTCACAAAGTGTCCAGTGACTTGCTCTTCACTGTTACTCAGCCAAGGGCACGACTGAGTCGGGCTCAGGACCCCTAAGATTTGGAATATGAAGGAGAGTGTGGGCCTGAATGAAACGCTGGCAGGCCCAGTGGCCTCTGTCGACACGGTATCTCCACAGACCCAGGGCTGCACAGAGGAGGGCCAAGCTTGACCTCTGAGTGGGGCCCACAGGGGGCTGTCAAGCAGGAATGGGAGCCCCCAGCGGTAGGTTGTGCATCACCTCCCAGAGGCTCATGGCAATGGCCCACAATGGCCCATGACTGACTGCTGGCTCAGGGCTGGGTGGGCAGGGGTCCCGGACAGGGCTGTGGGCAATGAGTGGCCCTCAAGCCTCCCTATTGATCGCAGCACCAAGCACTGCTCACGTCAGCTGCCCGCTGAACCCAGCACAATCCCTCATGTCTGCATTTAACTGCTAATGAAAAATAAATGTACTGTGACCAATAAGGGACATAGCTCACTTCTCCAGGGCCTCCATCACGCCACGCTGCTGCGGCCTCCCCTCCTCACCCCGAGGAGAGGCATTTACTAGGTGGACCCAGGGGGCACCCTCCAGGCTGCAGCTATGTGCTCTATCAAGGACACTCTAAGGCCACAGGTAGGAGTAAATTCAGGCCCCATTGGATGTCCTCTTGGAGCTACTAGAAGTTTCCTGGGTGGCCAGAGCTAGCTTCCCCTCCTCTGGCCCTGAAGCCCACCATGTGCCCTCCACCCTGTGGTCAGCACCTTCGATTTGCCTGACCTCGCACTGTCCCAGTTAGGCCTCTTGCCTGAACTAAGGTAGAGCATGAGACTTGGGTCATGCCTCGGGTCCCTCCCCCTCCATATCACAGGTCACTAGAGTGAGCATCTTTCTTTTTCACCCAAATCTTTCCTGTACTTGCCTAAAAAAGATAACACCAAGCAATGCACACTCAGGGCCAAATGGTCTATGACCTTTTCCACAGGGCACAAGCTCTCTAGTTTGCCCTAGTCCCCACCACTCCCTATTGTCTACCCCAGGCCTGCCTCTTCTAGTTTCTATTGTGTGCCTGGCTGTTTCAGGGTGGGGCCAAGTGCTTTTGGTTGACATCCCTGAGTCTTCTGGCACAGACAACTTGCCAGCCTTTCTGTGCAGAAACACTTATCGATTCCTCCTAGGCACCTCCCTCACCACCTCCCGGTCTTGGCCCACAGTCTTCTGTCTCAAACACCCCTCCTCCCTCCTCTGCCAGCACTTTCCTACCTTTTCCTCAGGGCCCAGCTCCATTGTCACTTCCTCTGGAAAGAGGGGTTCCCACCTCACTCTCCCAGGAAACCACAAATATCATTTTGCCCTCTCTGAGTCTAGGGCCCGTCCTCACTGGTGCTGTAACTCTCACCGCAGAGGAAACAAGTGGGGGGCTAGGGCCTTTGTCTTCAGCCAGCCTATCCATCCCTGGTCCCTGCTGCTCAGCTCAAGGTTGCCTAGTGCAGGCATTTGCGACTGGGGACGCAGAGCGGGGTGCCTTTTGGTGCCTCCTTTGGGGCTGCTGAGGCAATGGGCATGGATGGATTGCTCTGCCAGGGCGGACACACGGGGGCTCCAGGAGGGCTGGCGGGTGCAGGTCCCACTGACTATATACGGCCCTGGCACACAGGCCTTCAGTTCCACAGAGGCTCTGTTTACTACGCCCCGGCCATGATCCTCTTACTTGCAAAGGATGTGGCCCAGCTGCCCTACTGGAATTCAGTTAGAGAACCTCTTTCAGGTGTTCAGTGGCACCTGATGATTCAGTCGGTTAAGTGGCTGATTCTTGATTTTGGCCCATGTCATGATCTCGTGATCCGTGAGATTGAGCCCCTCGTTGGGCTCAGTGTGGAGTGTGGAGCCTGCTGGGGTTTTTCTTTCTCTCTCCCTCTCTCTCTGCCCCTCCCCTGCTCATATTCTCTCTCTCTCAAAATAAATGAATAAACCTAAAAAAAAAAAAAAAAAGAAAACCTTTCACTTACTGGCAGATCCCCAATGGGCTCGGTGTGCAAGGGGATGACGAGATCTTCCTGCATAAGCAGGTGGAGGGAGGCAGGAGTGGCAGTGTGGAGATGGATGACGGTACATCCGAAAGAGTGGACCATGGCAGACCTGCCTCATGAGGTCCATCGGGAACTCCCACCCAGCCCTCAAGTTTCAGCAAATGTGCCATTTCCTCTGGGATGCCTTTCTGGATCCAACCTCTTTGTTACTTGCCCAAGTGTCCACCCTGTCTCCTGAGCCTCCCTCCCGGGAACATTCAGGATCGTTGGCCCACCATGTACTACTTGCTTGGAGCAGGAGCCCAAGACACTGAAGGAGTATTTGTTGAGTGACTGAATGATCACCCCTGCTTCCCCCTTGAATTTCAGAAGACCTGCTAAGGGCGGCCACTTCACTCTTGTCCTGTAGGCAGACTCAGATATTGTGCAGAGTGGCCCACAGGTAGAGCTGTGGGCAGGGCGAGGGCTCCTGCATGGCCACATGCCGACTTGCTGCTACTCAGAGGCTGAGCCCCCCTTTCTCACTTGCAGTCTGGGTTGATAAGACCTGCCCATGTAACTCTGAGGCCCAGGGTGGGTGTGAAAGTGCTTTCAAATGTTTTATTTTTAAAGCACCATGAAAATATGAGGTGTGATTAATCAAGCTATTAATGAACCGGTATTTTCTGAGCAGCGGCTGAGTCCCTGGGAGGGGGAGGGGTGGCGGGGAGGGGGCAGGGTGTCACCAGGCCTCATCCAGCTGGGAGATGGGAGCACTATGTCCCAAATGCAGTCTTGCCCCTGATGCCACCTGCTCCTTTCATCCTCCTAAGCTTTCCCTGACAGTCCCGGTGGTTAGAGCCACCAGTGCCCGCTTTGTCTACTCTGAGAACTGTTCTGGATTTGATATGGGG